TGCCAAGGGCGTGCTGACGCGGCAAAGTTGGTGCGCTCAAACAAAACGTCGTCCATATCCATGCACAGTGGTTTAACTGGGCAGCATTGTACCGCATGACGTCACTCGTCGGCTGAGGCGGGCGAAATCGGCTCAGGTAGTCCCCTATCGAACAATATCCAAACGATTAGGTGGACGGTTGCGAGGAAGTGGGACAGTATCCCAACCCGTGGATCTCACGCACGCTGAACTTAATGAACACTGGACTTCATGAACGCTGGACTTTATGAACACTGGATTTTATAAGCACTGGACTTAATGATTCTCCTCTCTCCAGGGGTTTTGGACGATTTCTGGACATTATGAACGCTGGATGCTGCGATTCTGGGTTTTTTACCGCTGGACTTTATCAACTCTGGACGTTTCAATACGCATCCCACGGTGACCTTGGATAAGGTCATAGGTCCCTAAAACGCCAGACGTCGATAAAAATCAGGCATACGGAGAACATTGACCCTATCCAAAGGTCACCACCATCTAGGAAGGATAGCTTATCGAGACAACATCGAACAGGCGGCCGCAATCGGTAAAAATTTGGTGCCCACTGCTTCCAAAAATTTGAAACATGGGGTTATGTGTAACCAATTTTGGAGGTTTTGGACTTCTTGGTGGCCTTTGACGTGGCCCAATGTCAGCCTTTCTTTAAAGAACAAGGTAACGACCATGACGCATCAACTGGTAACGGCTCTGTGCCAATCGGTCCTATTGGTTGGAAGCATGGGATTATCTGTAGCCAACTTTTGGACGTTTACGGTGACGTTTGACCTGACCCAAAGTCACTTTGTCAAGGAAAAACCAAATCATGGACCATGATGTATCGACTGATTAAGGCTGTGTGCCGATCCGTCCGATATGTTCGGAGCTTACGGCTCTCTGCAAGCTTATTTCTGGTGGTTCTGAGCGGCTTTGGTGACCTCCGACCTGACCTTGGGTCACCATCTTTTATCACGGGTAGGTTATCGACCAAGCGGCATCGAATGGTGAAGGTTAGGTGTCGATGGGTCCTACAGGCTCGGAGCGTGGGGTTGTCAACAGGTTTTGTCGGACGTTTAGTAGAAGCCCGGGCAACACTGGCACCCACCCACCCACTGCGTACCGTGCGCGGCCTCTCATACCCGGACATTGGCGGCGGCGGGGCCGATCCGGACACTAGCGTGGCTCGTCACCAGTGTTGGAAAACTTGCGTTTTTATGTTGTAATGTATACCAGAAGATTTTGTACTCCAGGATTGTGACTAGGTAAAATGAAATATTTTGTACTCCATCATGAGACAACAAGAACGGCTTTTGGAAAAACTCATTTTACCTCTTTGTGTCAGGACAAAATAAAACCAGAAGGTGCAACAGATTGAGACTTGCTGCTTTCATCAGGAGCCATGTATTGATATCTGCAAGAGCACAAATCTTGCACCCACCAGACTAAGATGTCCAACAGCAAGCAGCCTGTGTTGCCACCTAGGTATATGATAAACCATGTATGGAAATGTGAAACATAAAGCGTGTGAATGTTGAATGGAATCGCCTTTGAACAAAACCGGGAAAGGAGAAAGGAGAACCAGAATCGCACCGGCCTGTAGATTAGCAAAGCTCTCACTTCCTATGCTCGCAGACCAACTCAAGTTTGGACATGACTAAACCTATCATTGACGACGAACCGCATTTATTCCCAAGGATGCAACGAACAATCAAAGAAAACTACAGGCCCAATCACCTACCACAGACGACCGCCTACTCACGCAGCACCATTGTGTGATTGCAATGCAAATAAGAGAATCACTCGCAATTCAGCGTTGGAAACGTCTCAACTATTCAGCGGCTTGTGCCCGCCTCCCAACTCAGGTTGGAGGTTGAACATAGCAATACTCTCCAATAAGTTTTAATGATTCTCCTCCTCGTGACCGATTTGTCAAGATCATAGATATTCTGCTCGCGCTCATGCCTTGAGCAGATTTGTAAAAATTTGGAAGGAAGCTGTTTAGAGATGGGCATCACGATTATGAAGACTGACTTATTTGTACTCATCTAGAACCGCCATATGGTTTAATTTTTGGCCACTTCCTGGTATTCGGAGTACAAAAATGTAATGGCAGCTGTGGAATTAAACCAACTTAAATTTGCTACTTAAGGGTATGAAATTAAAGCTGGCAACTCAGGCTCTACAAAAATGCCCTTTTAAGTCGAAAAACGTTGTTATAAATAGCCAAAAAACTGTTCGGAGACAGCCATCTCACTCCAGCAAAAACACCAGGACACCAGAGTAACATCAACCCATGGTTTTAGCCCGGCAAATCAAGGAGAAAGGTTTATTAGTACAAAAACACCTGTTAATCGCAACATAAATTGTCATATTTCGCAATGATATCGGTTAAAGCGCATCGAAATCCATAAATACCTTGCATTATCCGCCAGGGTCAGCGGAGTGACCGACTCCGATCCCTTTTGGCCGGCCTGTACGGGTCTGTCAGGCATTGTACTTGCGCTGGCTCGGTGAATCGGTTAAGAGTTAAGAGTAATCGGTAATCGGTACTGCCTGTCTCTATTGTTCCTATGGGACGCACAGAGCCTCGTGTGTTTACCGGGAGTTTGAAGGTGGAGGGCATGAATGTTTAGTTGTTTTTAAAGCCAGTTAGCTGGTGGAGCATGAGTAGCGTGACCGTGGTGGAGCGTGAGTAGCGTGATCGTGGTGGAGCATGAGTAGGAGGCCGTCTATGGCACGTTCATTTGCATTATTTGTGTACCATTTTTCTCTGGCTGTGCGTATCCTACCCACTTTCCATTTTGGAGGGTGTATAAGCCCGGTTTGTAGCCACCCGCCATTTTGGAGAGTGTATAAGCCCGATGGGTAGTTACTCCCTGTTCTGGACGGCGTATCCACAGAGCCTTTCATAAATTGCAAACCCATGTGTATGCACATGTGTTTCATAGTGAAGAGTATGAGACTGTGTTGTTTCAGTGGGTCATGTTTAATACTGATGTTTCCCTTCATTTAAGGTGTTTTTTACATGAATTGCTGCGCACGAAAAGTGGCATTTTTGTTGAGTACCACCCATTGTAGTGTTATCTCTCAAAGACAACCTAAATAAAACTCTAATGGCCCGCAGAACTTGGATAATTCTGTACTCCACTATAGAAAATTTGCACTCTGCTATCAGATTTTTTTTTGAATTTCCAACACTCCTCGTCGCACCCGCGCATCATGGTGCTGATGCGGGAGACCGGGACGCCTTGCTTGCTTGGTCAGATCCGGACATGGCATGTGACGCCCTGGTGGACCCAGGCACACAGCACCGGCGGAGGGGCAGACAAGAGAGTCGCCGCTGGATGGACAGCGTGGGCAACGGCTCACACTGTCGCCGCATAGAATGGGAAAATCTGTTTCTCTTCCCACCCTGCAATTCTAGGTGGGCCCTCGAGAGCGATCATATATTTGGCGTGCAATGTGCATCGTCATTGATCATTGTTAACAATAACTTAGGGGCTTGGAATGATCAGCAGCGCCATGCTGCAACAATCAGAAAAGGCCCAGATTCACTGTTATCTTAATGAACTTAGTCCTAAGATTTTGATTGAATTGATTAGTGTGATCAGAGTCCACGCTAAACACGGCTTGTTGCGTGAGTCATAACCACACCATCTGATTATGAGTTGCAATCCAGCGACATAATTTTGTGACGAAAGATCAATGCGTCGTAATGCTCAGCACGGTTCACCTGCCCTCTGACCTCATACGACCTTGCACGGCTGCTGCTACCGGTCGCAGACTATTTCAGCCAGAGGCAAGTAGCGAGCGCCAAGGCGACTCCACACCGAAGCCCTTTATGAAGGACGTGATCGTGATGCGATCGTAATGCGATGCGATGGTGGCAGGCCTTCGTCCACATTGGCAGCACCCCGCAGCCTGCTTTTTTGTCGTTTTGTTGTCTCATGTTAGCTGCCCGAAACATGTTTAGGGCAGGAGTTGCGTTCGAACTGAATCAGCACAGTGCTGGAGGCTAACCTCTTACTTCAACAACCTGTACACCGGTCAGGTTATGTTAGGGCCCAAATTTTGAACCGCGAAGCAATTTTTGTCGTACTCAATGCTGTTAAAATATTGTATATTTGCTCTGCTACGCATGGTTTTGTGCCTACCTTGTATACAACGCTTCCACCAGATGGGCGTGGTCGAGTCCCAGCTGGAGCCCAGCTCTTGCCCAGGCTTCACCAATGGCCTGATTTTTGCTGGACACGTGCCCAGCGGGTGCCCAGCTAGGCTGCAGGCAGACCGGATATGGCCAAGCCGCAGCCTATCATAAAATTTGCGAGGGCCATCTGGGACAGTGCTGGGCATCCTGCTACTGCCCATCCAGATTACCCATCTGGGGCCTCGCCGGGCCACGACAAAATGCTGGTTAGGAAGGGGGATGACCGAGCGTGACGTAAGTGTGACAAGGGAGGGAGGAAAGGCTCTGGCTACATCAAGCTAGGCCCAAGTGTGATTGCAAAGCATGCCAAAAATATTTTTCTGCCATCTAACCAGGTTAACAACCTGGTAACGCCGAGCCATATGCCTCAGTGACGTCAAGTCACGAGGTTTTCGAGAACTTGTTTTAGAGGTAACGATCGCAGAGCCTTGAACGTTACAGCAACAAACGGCCGACCTCAGGCACAGAAATTGAGATTAGATTAGGAGCATGAGCACCTCTGTTAAGTGCTTCACCTGGTAAGTGATGTTTCTTTCCGATATGTGTGGTTCATCACGCAAAACATTAATGGAAACTTGCCATAAACTTCCCATGCCTCTAACCGGCGAGTCGGCATTTAGAACTCAGAGTTTGCTGCGTTTCTGTGTTATTTTTTGCACACAATTATGGCGCAATTCGTGCATTGCAAATTGCGCGTAGGAACTACGAGGTACTGAAACGAGTGAAGGGGTTGTGGATGCGTTCCTGTGTAATGCCGTATTGGTATGACATGGCTGGAGAATTGCTGCTTACCCAGTTGTGTGCATTTGTGTCGATCTACGATTGTGGGGAAAGATTGATGTCAAATGGTTGGGAATGTTGCATCAAATTGTCCTGGAGTGGTGTCGCTTGCAGCAACAGTGCCTTGAATGGAAGATTTGCAAATTAGTGGGGTGACATTTGCACTGTTATGCATGTAAGAGCGGTTCATTCACCTAGCAATCAATGTCCATGCACCGATGTTAAACTAAAATTTTTGGTGTTTTGAATGCATTGGATCAATATATATTCTAGTTTTCTTATTCAGTTTCCAGCCTGCAAATTTCAATGACAAGACTGAAATGACTTAACCAACCATTACTTTACTCAACCAACCATAACCTTAAGATGGGGTTTTATTTGAAGTGCTCTTTTTCAATGTTAGTTAGATGTGGTGTGATTCACCATCCATAACAGACATCAAGACTCAAAAATGTGCATGCTGCTCTGAACATGCAAGGTTTGGTGGCTATGTCTGAGTAACAATTGTGTGGCATGCACATAAATCAGAGAGCCCATTGTTTAGAGTGCTTGCCACCAATTTCAGTGCATAGGTAGCCAATTTGTCAAGGAATCTTTGGATGCCTCTCTGATGTGGAATTTTATGGTATATCAAAGGTGGCTTCATAACAAATTCTGACATGTTTTTGAGCAAAAAATACATTACAATCAGCATAATTGGGCATGCTTTGAGTTTTGCATAGCATTGCTCCAAGTGCAGCACACCAGCTTGATATCAGTACTTTGTATAGCAGATGGCCTGTTTTGCAGGCTGGGTAGGTGTCAATGATGTTGCAAAGGGGGAGTTTTTGGGGTGATGCCCCCTTCTGAAAGTGGTGGTGACCACACTGGAGATGGAGGTCCTACAACTTTTTTTGCAGTTATATTTGCCTGTGGGCTTCTAAAGTATGAAAAACAAGCTGTGATACATGAGAAAATATGGAAGCTAACATGGCCTGTGGTCATGTAGGTGAAAAACAGGGCCCCTGTAGTGATAAAACAAAGGCCCATGGCTGAAGGAAAATGATGGGGATGAAGGAAAAGCTGCCTGCATGATGCATGGTGTTTGGTTGTCATTTATTCTCTCACTGTTGCATTTATCTTAATTTTACATTCTGGATGTAATAATGTGCATTGCACCAGCAATGTGAATCAATGAGGTAGATTGTTGGCATTGTGTATGGTGTTTTATGTTCATGTTACACATGTGACCAGTTCAAGCTTCTTTCCAATGTAGTGTGGAATTTTATTGGATGATATTAAATTTTTTACATGTTGATGATTTGATTATCTCCATTTGAGATGAGCATTATTCAATGCACTGCATTCTTGATGTACACATATATGTTTGTAACTGTAGGAAGGGTTACATTGGTTAACTTAAATGTTCTTTTGTAATCATGTTCTGGAATTTGGATCTGGTTTTCATAAACCTCAGTACCTGAAACCAAAATTCTGGCCATGTATGGAATGTTTTGGCAAGGGTAATCTTGTCATGATTTTTAATCTTGTTATCCTGTCATACCCTTATGTAATTAACAATATTGTGTAAGGATATGTTTACCCATGGTAGAGATGTACAGAGCTCTAATTGTGAATTGTGGAAGGTCAGGAGCATCAGGAGAATGGTGTGCCAAAGGGAATGTTTATGAGATTATGTGCCAAGGGAATTTTCACAAGATTGTGTGCCTAAAAGACAGTTTGTCCCTTAGAATGTCTGGTCTTATGGTTCATGCTGATTCTGTTTTCTCTTTTTGGTTCCAGCATGCTTCATCTTTGAAATATTGGAAGAATGATGGATGCTCCAAATCCATCACAGTCTGCAGCAGAGGGTAGTGAAACCATCAGAAAGTCATCAAGACTCAGTGTCAAGCCAAGAAGAAATGGTATGTCATTGGTATGACAATGGGTGCATAACATTCTAAGGCCATATTGGGATGCGTTTTGGATTTTTGTTTAGGAGCCCTGCACTGGTGGTAACAATTTTGCTCAGCTGTGGGATAAAGAGTGAAACATGTTGATTTTGAAACATGAAAAAACTCAAAAGCCATAACTTGTACAAATTATGAAGTGCAGTTTTACACCAAATGAGATACAGATTGTAGGTTTCATGTAAAATTATAGTTGTTAAAATTTCAGAGCCACTGTGACTTTTAACCTTTGAGCAGTGTTGCAAGGGTTCCAGAGAATGTTTTTGGCAGAATTTTTCTAAGTTTATTAAAGTCACTCGGAGGGTGGTTCTCCAACACTGATTGGAATGTAACTTTTTTGATATTCTTGATTTCTTCATCCCACTCACATATGGTATTAATGCATGCATTAGGTACCATTTTCTGTGGCTTTTGCTTGTTTTTGGAAAGGATTGTTGTTCTCATGAAGGTGTCAATTTCATGGGAGGTGCTTCAAGTCAGCAAATAAGTTCACTGTTGCATTGACAGTGAGTAGTTAGTGAAAGAGAACAGAAAGAGCTTTCACCATGCAAGGAGTTTTGAAAACAAGTTTCAAATGCTTTCCTAACTGTTGCAATACATCCTTCAAAACTTGCTACTTTGGCTCAAATTGGCTATGAGCTCTTGTTAAAGAAAATGTATTGAATCATTTTGAAGTGGGTGATAAATTACACACATATGGTCAAGCATGAACAACTCTTAAATATGAGTTCATGCATTTGATGTGCACAACTTGTTTTGTTGTGTGTCACAACTTTGTGTGGTGGGTGAGCAGGTCAATATCTGGCTATGTGAACCTAAGTGTATATATTTTAACTGACTGGTCCTTGTATGACTCTTATGCAACCATGACAATCTTGCATCAGCCCTTGGTATCACATTGTCATTGACTTTTTCTGTTTCATCTTTTTTACTGTATTTGTAACACATCTTTGGGAAATGGTTTGTTATAAGGCAGCTCTCTGCATGTTTCAGCTCGTCAGCTATGTAACCCAGTGATCCGATACAAGAAGGCTGACCTATTGAGCAAACCTGGAGGTCGGTCACGATCTGTAATGGCGTCCAAGTTATCGAAAGCAGGTAGATCTGGTGGTATGATAACTGTGGCCTTGGGCTGTGCATGGCATGCCAAACAGAAACCCAGTGAAATATGATAAGATCTGTAAATATATTAACACTGTCCCCAAAGGAATGCTAGGATGATTCACTAGCCTGACAGCTCAGATGTGCATGATATAAAATGCTGGCGTAAATAGCTGTGATGTTGGTATACATGTCCTTTTCAGGCTTGTATTAACATCATAGTGATTTGTTTACTAAACTGTTGATACCTGATTTAACTAGATCAGAATTTATTCCAGAATTGATGTGTATGTCCTTGAGTCAGCATCAGATATAACTCAGTTGCGCCATGCTGACTAGTGTGAGAGCTGGGAGTCACAATCAAATATGCCTGCTTTGTTTCTCATTGTGCAGGAGAAAGGCAAACGATTTGTTTACATTAAGTGCACTTGGTGCTTTTGGCCCGAACTGCAATCACATTTTCAGCCCTTAAACGTTATCCTGCTTCACTTTCAGGTGAAGCAAAGAAAGGTGTGAAGAAGCCAGCACCGCCCCACGTTCGGCAAGCTCAGACGAGAACAGTGTTGAATTCGGAAGGCGAAGTAGTGAAGCAGATCGTTGTAAGATCTTATTCAGCATGCATGGGGGTGTCTGTGGCGCTGTAGCTTTACTACGCGTCCAGGAGGAAGCAGAAGTACATTGTTTGCTTCCCTGTGGTGCCCACCCTTCCTGCCAGGATGAGGGGTGGGCAGCGCTATTGAGCATCAGCCATGAGTGCGTCGGGAAGCCCCAATGACGATGGCAGTATGCACGCGCCCTCTCACGGATGCTGGCGGAGGGCATCGCCACGAAGGCCATGCTGATCACAGATTTGTGTTAGGAATACGATGCCCCACTCCATGTTTGCAAACATCAAGTTTGGACCATTTCGACTCAACATCGATGATGGGGTCTAATGGTTTGGTCGTCGAAATGCTCGTTAACTACAATCGCATAAACGCATTTTCAGTTGCTGATATATCCTAATGATATGCTCTCGAAATGTGTCGCCCAGTGCTATAGGATTTTTGATGCAAACTGGCCACAGACGAGTTGGGAAAGCTAAAAGAAGACCGGGGTTGCGAGGTTCATCTTAAGAACAGCCGTGCCAGACAAGGTATCCCACAACGGACAAATGTGTACCCATTGCGGCTTCTTCTTTCAACATGCGAGGGGTGATTAATCTGTGGTTTCTAGATCTTGTAATTTTGTTGAACTGGAATCAGGGTCGTTTCAAAACTTTGCAACATGAATGGCATTGGGAACGAAACTGTTTGTTGGTGTGATACTGGGTTCCTGTCTATTTAAGCCGGTTACAACAGTACGAGCCGGTTTACAGTTTGATGGGGCGTGAACAATGCGAGGCGCCGATATACGTGCGCGCCATAGAACGACCAGGATCATTTTATTCCAAAATGATCATCCTTGTCTTCAGAAGCAAAGCAAAATTATCGTATCCACCTTGAGAAACGGAACGAATTTATCCCCCTCGTCTGTACGATGGAACCGATCAGCTATAGCAATTCCAGACTGGGACATCCCTAATAGCAAATGGATGAAGAAAGCTCAACTCCTTATGTCTGCTACAAATGAGTGCTCGTTTTGGACTCATTTCCTTTGCTGAAACCGTTTTAAGCGACAGTGATGACCAAAGATTGGTCTGTTGTAAGCTTTGAAAGTTTGCTTCCGGCAGTAGAATTCAACTTTGTGTTGAGAATGTACGACACCCAACAATTACAATAACCACGAAGTTTCTCAGTGGTGGCCAGCCTGTTCTTAGGTTTCTTATTCTTCATTTGTTATGTTTCAGGTTTATCTCTGCAAAGTCGAGGGGTGTAATTATTTCTCCAGGTCAGAGGAATTTGTGAAAAGCCACGAGAAGAAGCTGCACCCTCAAGTGAGTGTTCACTTATCTTGTCACCTGTCATAAGATAGATGTGTCATAGACCTTTCGGTGTTGTAATGGTTTTTGCACTTGATTTGACTGAATATTTCCACTGTGCAGCCATTGCGAGGTAATGCGTCATAAACAAACTGTTCGAGCTGTCCTTTCCTGTTCATGATTATTATGCTGTTCAAATAAGGTCTCCTATGTGTTAAAAAATTAATGGGATAGAATGTTGATTAAAGTGGACCAAATCGTCAGGAAACACACATTTGTGGGGAGGATAGATTATCGGGTTCCCTTCCCCCACCACCACCCTCAATCATGTAACGGAAGTGAACGCTACTACCTGGTGTGGCTGTAAGGTTTGATATTCTCCGTCTCTTTATAGAAAAGACGTTGCAAGGTGTGCCAGATATATTCGCACGATGAGAAGGCTCGGAAGGTTCATAGCAATAGCGTCCACCAGATGGAAACAACGGTGAGAATGAGGAAGTACACAATGAGTGCCACAAAAATGTAACAGCAGCAATAGTTTCTCGTTTGAGACGGTTAGTTTGTGATGCCTTTGAGTTAATTTGGAAACAGATGCGTTCCACTGAGCCCTTAGACTTGACTAGGCGGCGCAACTGAAGAATCAGCTAATGTAATCCATGTGCATGCCTTCGTGTGCACGTATTTGTGCACATGTCTGTTAGCCTCTTGATGTAAATATGGATCTTGATCTAGTTTCCAGCATTTAAATTTCTGTGGTAAAAACGGTTTGCCTTCATTATACCGGGGTAGGTACCGGTTACCGGACGATATCAAACGAATCTTCAAAATCACGGCACAGTCGTTGTCGTGTTGCAGTAGCGTACCTTAAAGATGGCTTGATATTTTGAAACTAGTATATCTGGGTTATTTAAGTTTGATTCTCTTGACCATAGAAGTAATCAGTGTTAATGCCTGTATCTGACGACAGGCCTGGAATCAGACATGTCGGTCTCGCACAATGACGTAAGCAGCTGCAGAGTTGCGGGTCACGAAGCGTGTGACCCTGCCGCCTATGAAACGGACGTTAACGCCGCCTTGCGTTGCAGGCGGTCAAGTGTCAGTCCTGTGAGTTCATCGCGCCAGACCAGAAGACGCTGGACGAGCACCGCGAACTCGAACATTACGAGGGCGCTCCCCGCAACGAGGTGGGCGTGCCGCACAGGGTGTGGACGTGGTACGGGACATTTCAGGGTGCACCGCGGAACAGGTCCGCTATGAGCAAGCGCGCGTCGGCCGTCGACCGGATGTGGACGCCCGCGGCCACGCTCGCACCACTGCACACTCATTGTTGTGGCCCCGCGAACTTGGTCGTGTTCTCGGTCGGCCCCCGTGCTGGCTGCAGTCGTGCTCCTGCGCTCGGCAGTGGCCGCAACCGTCCGCCTCGTCGGTTGCGTCCCGGTCCGCTCAGGCCGCGGCTGGCTGGCGGCGATGGTCGGTGACGTCATGTGGCCTTCGCCTCCGCTGTGCCACGTGTTCGGTGCCGGCCTTCGCATGAGGCGTCCATCTCCCTACGTCTCTGATGACTGTCAGTGGCTGCTGCCCCGGCCGCCCATGGCCCGAGGCCGCCCACCTTGCCGCGTATGGGTCAGCGGCGGCCGCCAGGGGGACCCCCCCCCCCCCCCCAGCCCTCGACGAGACATGCACTTTCCCGGCCCCGTTGACTGTGTGTCCTCCTCTTCCCGCTGGGCAGCACTGCCGTGAGATGGTGGACGGCGAGCAGTGCAAGGCGCGTTTTGGACGCGTGCGCGAGCTGCGTCAGCACCTGGCCGACGTGCACGGCCTGGCGGCGGCCCTGGACACCATCCGGGAGGAGTTCTCCACCAGGGAAGGTGCGTCCTGACAGGGGCCGCTGGGCGGAAGCCGAGCGATCCAGCGAACGTCTGCAGGCCACGCAGGGCGTCAGCGGCGTCGCGTATGACATTAGTATCGTTTTGAGTCTACCCCCGTAATGTCGTCTTCGAGGGTTGAAAATGATATGTTCGTGTGAGTGACAGGGCCGCCTAGCCAGTCACACTCGCGCTGCCGGCTGGTCCAGACGGCAGCGTTGCGCCGCGTCAGGCTCTGCGACCTGTTTCCGGTCTCCGGTGCCCACTGGAGGCCCTGGCCGGCTGCGGCCCCCTACTGACCGCATCCCACCGCAGAGTTCCTGCGCTGGAAGGCGAACTTCGAGCGGGAGACGGGCGCGGTGTACAAGATCGGCTACGGCCGGCGCCACGGCCTGCACCGCTACATGTGCTCGCGCTCCGGCCGCTACAAACCCGTGCCGGACGACCTGCGCCAGCGGCGCCGCAAGCAGTACGTCACCATCAAGATAGGCTTCAACTGCACCTCCACCATGGTCTGCAGCTTCCCTGAGGCGGGCGGCATCTCGGTGCTGGTGTACCCGTTCCATTACGGTCACACACTCGGCGACCTGCCGCTTCCCGGGATGAAGCCGGAGGGCGCGCCAGGTGAGTCGTGCAGCGTCCCCAGAGCCCCCGCCCCCGGTCGGTGATCGCGGAGCTCCCCTCACCTGTCGACCTCAGGTGAGAGGAGTGAGCCACTTTGTGTGGGTGATCCCAGCACCGCTCAGCACGCGGGCGGCTGTGTTTCGTATCTTCCGTGGGCGCTCTGGTTGATGTTAGAGCGGCGTGTGGCTGGGAGCGGACGGACAGCCGTCACTGTCTCGTATGGCTGGGGACGAACGGACAGCCGTCACTGGCTCGTATGGCTGGGAGCAAACTGACAGCCGTAACTGCCTCGTATGGCTGGGAGCAAACGGACAGCCGTCACTGCCTCGTATGGCTGGGAGCAAACGGACAGCCGTCACTGCCTCGTATGGCTGGGAGCAAACGGACAGCCGTCACTGCCTCGTATGGTTCAGGACGAACGGACAGCCGTCACTGCCTGGAAAGCGTGTATAAACGCGTGACACCATCTTAGCAACCAGGAATGTTACTGCGCTTCATACTGAGGTAAAGCATGTGCATGGAAGCTTAACAGTGCATTAGTTGGACATGGGCCGCGTCACATGGAGATGAAGGCAAAAGCATTGGTACTGGCTTCTGGGTACCATGTTCGGCACACCAAGTCATATATGACACTGCCCAGGTATATATGGTCATGAGTGCAGCAGATAAACATTCATACATTTGTGTATCGCACATAAACACATCTTCGTAAATGTTTCCTGCCTGACCAGTTCTTGGCATGCTCTGTAGGCGATTTTAGCTGGCAGTCATGAACTCCGAGAAGACATTTCATCCATTTGAGCAGCGTCAGCGCTGTGTCGGGGTGTATCATGGTGATGACGGTTTTACTGTATGCAGCTGAATAAATCAGGTGCATAGCTAAACCTTTGTTAAGTGTAGGCAAATCGCTTGGTACTCTAAATGGCCGTCATTTTTGGTATTGGCCCAGCCTTTATTTATTCTTGTTTCATATAGAACCGTTGTCAATGTCTGTGATGATGAGGAGACGTGATGTCTTCGATGTCTGTGATGGTGATGAGATGTGATGTCTTCGATGTCTGTGATGAGGCTGAGATGTGATGTCTTTGTCTATTTTCAGCCGACTGGATGCGAAGAGACACACGAAAAAGGCGCATGTTCAAAAAGACTCACGCTATCGAAGCAGACGGGTAATTATGCATCCTGATCCGTGGAGGATGTTCCACATTCGTGAATATTGGAGCAAGCATCAGATATCATGAATTATGGTCATTTATGGCTATTGGTATACTTTTAAGCGAAACGGACTGCTCTTGACCACACGATATCTCCACGTAGTGAATATGCTCCTAAATACGTCATTGTTTGATGGCATCATCATGCCTTGCTTAGCATTGATTGAGAGCTAATTGACGGCTATTATATCTGGAAATTATATTCGCGAACGCCAGATTTGAACGACTCGACAATTGCATTTTTAGGCTTGATCGTCACATGGCCAATGGAATGGCAGGACTTAACCATGGCGACGTTATCATGGCGTTGTGCATGCTCAAGTGACATTGAAATAATCTGCACGAAATACTTCACACATCTTTGCGGGCGCGTAGCTCAGAAACTAGAAGGGCTTAGGTCTTCAGAAGGACGGGGGCATGAACTGCACCGAATGATCTTCAAGATGACTATCTCAGTTGAAACCCCCACGCAGATGTGCAGCATCTCCTTTAGCATGTGTGGTCCGGTTGGAGCGCTTATACGCCATGTTCCAAACGCACATACTGCTACTTTTATGTATGAGTGTGGCCATATTGCAAACCTATGCACAAAGACATTGGCATTGCGCGCGTGCATACAATTTTGTTTTGCCATGGTGCCAACGCTCCCATGATTCTCCCGACAAACGGCACCAAACTATCTCTTCCTGAAGTTGTATGTTGCGATGTGGACGTGGTATTGCGTCACGTTCAGGATTTTCTTTCACGTTTATGCAAAATAACAGCTGATCACAATAAATGGCAGACGCGCTGGTGACGTACGCAAGCCAGGAGCTGTGCTCTCCCCGGCGAGCCCCATCGCCATCAGTGACCCGACATTAGTACAGAGCTGCGCGCCTGCGCTGCTGCCCGCCGGCTGAGTCTGCCCCCGTGCCCGCAGGAGCTCCGCGGCCACGGCCGGCGGCGACGTCTCCTCCCAGGCGCCTAGCTCCACGCTCGAGGGCCCGCAGTGGGAGGGCGACCAGCCCTCCTCACAGGAGGGCGGTCAGGAGGCCAGCGCGGCGGGCGACGAGGCGGGAGACGTCGCGGGTGATGAGGCGCCAGAGTCGTACTCCCTAGAGGATGGCGAGCCGGAGTCCGCTCCTGGCGACGGGGCGGCCTCTCCGGCTCCGCTGGAGTCCGAGTTCGAGTCCAAGCAGGCGGCTCGGCTGGCGAGCAAGCCGGCCCGCTTGCTGCGCCGTCTGAAGGAGCCAGACTCGCCGACGCTGTCCGAGCCGAAGCTGCCCAAGACGCCTCGGGCGGCCGCGCCACGCCGCAAGGATCTCATGTGGAACCAGATCGCGCCGAAGGGGCTCGTCAACGACGGCATGCCGACCCCCCAGCACGGCAAGGGTCTCGGCCGCTGGTACAAGAAGCTGCTGAAGCACACCAAGGTAGTGAAGCGACTGCAGGGCAAGCTGGCGCAGCAGGCGGCGGCGCTGGCGGTGGCGCGTCGCGAACACGAGCAGGCGGTGGGCGCCGAGGCGGCGGCCGAGGCCAGCCGCCGCCTCGTTATCTCGATCGACGAGGAGCAGGACGTGCTGCCGGTCAGCGAGCACCTGCCGCTGCTGGTGCTGCGCGCTGACCCGGGCGATGTAAACGCGGTGCCGGACGGCGTGTTCCCCGAGCTGCCAGTCATCACGGCGCCGCTTAATGTGCAGGAGGCCACCGACACCATCTTCGACTTGAAGCTCGAGGTGCTGTCGCTGCGCGCGCGTCTGGCGCGCCGCGCCGCCGTCGAGACGGCGCTGCGCGTGCAGATGGTGCAGCGCGACACGGCGCACGCGCTGTCCGAGAACGCGATGCTCGCCGACCTGGCGCAGACCAAGTCTGATGAAGCGGCGCGGGCCGGCGAGCTGCGCGCCGCGCTCCAGACAGTGTTCTCGCGCGCGCAGATAGCCGCCATTGAGAGGCCCGACCACCCGGTCCCGTGGGTCGAGGAGGACTACGAGAAGGCGGTGGAGTTGCGCTGGTTCTGCAGCCAGCGGGCCTACGACTACGTGCGCAACGGGCTGAACGTGCCGCTGCCGACGATGAACTCGATCCGCGCGCTGGTCAGCGACGGCTCGTACCCGGCCGTGGTGCAGCGCTTCCTGGATCTGGTGCGGAAGCGCGCCATGGAGGGCAGCACCGTCGGCGAGGATGAGGACGAGCCGGAGGACCTTCACGAGGAGGTGGTGAGCAGCGCTGCCGATTCCTCGCAGTCGGGCCACGCTGGCCAGCTGTTCCTCGTGGAGAACGCCGGCAGTCCGAAGCGCAAGGCGTCGCCACTCAAGGGTTCGCCCACGCGTCGCCTGAAGTTCCGCCGCGTGTCCGGCGAGGCGGACATGACGGTGACGGTGCGTTGGGACCAGAAAGCGGGCCCGGACTGGTGCCAGCCGGCCGGCGAGTACGGCAGTGCCGACGGCGAGGACGGCGTCATCTACCCGGCTAGCTTCGAGGAGACTGGCTCGCAAGAGGTCACGTTGAAGGACGATGGCATGAGGAAAATGAAAGTGAAGCGGAAGGTGTGACTTGGACTTGAAGCCGGAAGACGCATTGGAGGTGCGTGTTGTGTTCACAGTGCGTTTTCATCATCGTTCATAAGCTGCTTAGTATTGAAAGAGGCATCTGCACGAGCACGGTGAATCATTTGTACAGGTATGTCGAGGAAGGGTTGACTTCGGCTTCATCGCTGCTATTTGCCAGAATCTGTCCCATGTCTGTTGATGAAATATATCAAACACTGCATTCGTAGGGGGTCGGCTTGAGTTTCGTTCCCAAGCGAATGATACGATCCACTTGTTTTTCTCTGCGTTTGACGCGAAGTGGTCGATTTTCTTTGAGTGTGAAAACGCCAATAAAGGGCACACTAATTCATGCTTCCTTGCATTGCTCGAGTAACAAAACAGTTATATCAATCAGAATGGGACATTTGCAGTTGAGCAAAGTACCGAATGTCAGTGCTGACAAGGGTGCCAGATGCTGGTCAAATACGTGAAACGAGTTCTCAAGCCATGGAGCGTCATTCACTATCCACCGCCCACGTCTTTGTGGCCGCTCTGACCGCAGCGCTGGCGGCGACAGTGGCGTCGGTGCGCGTCACCTGCCGTCCCCAGGAGCCGCCGGTCCGTCCGCCTCTCCCCCCCCCCCCCCCCCGGCGTTCGTTTTCCATCGGTACCCGCACCGAGTCTCCGGGGGACCCAGACCCAGCGGCCGCGGCCCCGCGCGGGGGCGTCCGCGTGCGGCGGCCGGCCGCGACGCGAGGAACGTCGTACAAGCTCCAGAACTGGCGACCGGGCACCGACCGACGCCAGCGGCGACACAGGCTCACAGCTCGAACACGGGCCTCATATCCGCGCCTATCGCATACTAGTTTGTCTTTGGTGCGTCACAGGTGACCATTACAGTTCGCAGCATAACGAAGATCCCTTGCCGCCGCAACTACACGCAGTGCACTCATGGTATGCATCCGGATCTTCATCACCGCTCGCACATGGTCAAGAGATGTTGAGCGGGAGAAGCCGACGGACGAGAGCTCCACGATAATCCTCGCTGCTTCACGGTCCGTTACGCAGCTCAGTGCCCCGCCGAGGCCGGCAGATTCTGCTTGAGATAGCAGCCCTTGACTCAGCTCTATGTGACCGCCGACTCTGAGACCCGCGACGTGTCCCCTCACCTCGGCCGGCTCGAACCCCAAGTAACCTTTGGTCCAGGCGGAACCGACGCAGCTCCTGACGAGCTGGAACCCGAGAGTCGTGCAAGCGACGGCGCGACGCAACAGCCACATTTTCAGCTCTAGGGCGCAGACTTCAGCTGTGGCCAAGGCGGGCTGGGTGGTGCCATGAACAGCGCTAGCACGGCGAGGCATAGAGCTCAAGGCCGAATCCGCCTGTCCCTGCGGCAGAACCTCAAGAGGCGTGGGCGGTCTTCCACGGAAGATATACGCCAACGTCCCATATCGCAGTGTTCGATGAATGCGGGCATTCAACATCGACCCACCTAGAACAGGCACAGCATCTGGAGGCGCACCGGCTTGTGATGAGTTTCGGTATATTTCGGTTGCGTTTGTTGGGACGCAAACAAATGCGGATTATGGAATATAAACTTGAACTTCTTCGATCCTGTCAATGCGATGGTAAAAGTTCACTACCCTGTCAGATCCGGTAGCTCCGGAACGATACATTATCAGCGCATTTCTGACCATTTTCGAGCAGGAGAGCGAATTGGTATCAGGCCCGGTTCCCCGCGGTGCCCGCCCTTCCTGCCAGGGGACAGCCTTGTGCCAGGGTGAGGGGTAGGCGACGCTATGTAGCCTCAGCAGCTGAGTGCGTCGTAAAGCCCCAGTGACATGACACACGCATGGTATCAGGCAGGGCTTTACGTCTGTTCTAGGTCCTTGGTCTTTGCGTAGCGATTCTGGTGCGTGTCGTGGGGGTGTAGAGGAGTCTGTCAGCGTCTGTCAGCGTAAGCGTGTTAGCATTAGATGTTTGTGTCTGGTATTCATCTCCTGTATTTCTATGAACTCATTCCAAGTGCTCACAAGTGTTCCTGAATGGACAGATGGAGGATTGCCTGATCCGAGTTGGTTGCTCGCAGCCCTTGGCATTCTGTCTGAAAGTTTTTCGCATTCTGTATTGCAGAGATGCACAAATCAAAATAGCCTTGGCATACTCCAAGTGTAAATGTACCTCCCAAATATGTGGCTTGTAGACCACTTGCCATGGAGAGCTCTTCCACCAGGGGATCACTTATGCCTGGGTCACTGTCACTGTCCAGGTCTGTGACTATGTTGACACTAAAGTTGACACATTCCTGCAGTTATCTCAGCTGTATAACTTTGCAGCTTCCCTAAACATGGGTAGAGTATTTGTATGGGCCCACCAGTGTATCTGCCAGCATCTCCCTGGCCTTGTGGGGATTCTTCAAGTACTTCACCTTTTTTAGAAGAAGAAAAATCTCCACTGCAAGCACGTCATGTGCAGTGTGAAACGGGCACAATCAGCTTGAATTAGCAGAATTGCCGAACTTGGAAATCATACAACCCAAACAACTTTTCCTGGAATAATGCCTGTTGAACTGCCTAGACTGAAGTGGAACACCAGTGCAGTCCTCTTGGTGGAACACACTGGAAAATGTTTCATGTAATGCTGCCACCCCTGAGCACCCATGCACACTAGGATGCTTTGTTTTTTCCTCTGATCTTCTGTGTCTGGTTGGAATTTAAGGCCAGAGCTGGACCAAGGTGCATCTTAGCATACCCTCAGTGCTATCTAATGCAGCAAACTGGCTCTCAAGGCTGAATCAAAGCTTTTGTGTTGGCTGTAGTCAGCCCATTATTTCAGTATATGGCTGCTTGAGTGTCAGGGTGTCAACATTTTTACCAGATATGATATCCCTGTTTGTGGTGCACTGCCCATTGCTCCTCCTCTAGCCTAAAATTGGCCACTCAGCATCAAACTGAGCAGCGGTCAACCCGGCATCTCAGTGCTTGGGCTTGACGAATGGGCCCGGCAGGTTAGAAGTCTGGATTTGGTGTCGTTGGGTCTAAGGGGAGCATGCTAGCCAACAACATATTGTGTGCAAAGGCTGCCAGAGGGCCAGGATTTTGGTGGCATGAGTAAATTTACATCCCACACTGGATACATTTTGGAACACAAGGCCAACCCAGGCAGTTTTAGGTTTAGGAGAAGCTGGTATGGTTGAGAATATCCCAACTCCAGTGAGGCATTTGCAGGAAAGCTTTTAAGCACTTGGAAACAATTAGTCATGTGTGGGTCCCCATATTTAGTCATATATAGGGTCCCCCCTTATCAGCCATGCCTGGGTCCCAGTAAGTGGGTCAACAGTGTGCTCATTATTAAAGCAATGGTCTGGTGATTCTGCTACAATATGCAGAGGTGAGACATTAGCTGCACAAGCCATTCACATGTCTCGCTTTCTACAAGTGAGGTATGCATCAGGCAAGTCTGTTGGATTGTGTGGATCTGTGCTCTTTCTCATTTGTGCTGTTGTGGTAGGTGAGCTGCATCTTACTGTAATGTGCACTTGTTTCAGTTGAGGCATCAAAAAGTTGTTTGCTTATAAATGTGCGAGCGTAGATCCTCAGTATGCATTCATAAGTAAAATATATGACAAGGTAGAAGCTTTTGTTGATGCGTTTTACCCCGATGCAAGACAAATGAAGCAATGGGTTCTTCGGAAGATGAAAGAAAAGATTTTGCAATTTTTCCTGTGCATGAACGTGCAGATCTCATGGAGGGAATATGCAGCCTATTGAATGAAGAATGGCCCAGGAGTGTGACAGCTAGGTTTGTTGAAACCCACTTTTGTCCTTGGGTTGGGACTGATTGTCTGTTTCATCACAATAGCTTTGCTTCACCAAGCTACTGCTTTGAAATGTAAATGCTCCTTTGGTGTTTCTTTGGTGACTGGTGTATGTTATTCTTGCTTTGACTTTTATCTGTGTTGTTGTGAACAGTGATACAGTTGCACGACAAATTCTCAGAAGTGAAATCATTCTGAGCTCTGAGATGAGTAATGATTTGGGCAGGATGAAAAGACCAGGCAGCATCAGACAGCAGTACTCGAAGTAGCCTTGTGTTATGCATTCATTGATGCTTCATCCTGAATTGACAAATGGTGGATCGTTCGGCGCAACGTGGCGAACTGCCGTGCCTTTTTGTGTTTCTTGAGCTTTGTGCTGATGTTGCATCACTCTCCGCATATGGCATGTGTGGTGTTTCAGAATGCGAACGCTTCGTGCCTCCTGCTCGGAGTTTCCCACTTGTCTGGCGTTGGTCAAGCAATCGGAGCCTAGCACTGTGATTGGGCATGCCAAACTGTCTCGAGTACCAGACGAGGACGACGCTCTGTTTATTGAATCAGGTGATTGTTGCGGTGCAGAATATGCGTGCTATGGATGTGTTAACCATGTGAGCCTGACCACAATCAACAAAACATAAAAGAAAGAGCCCAGGCTCGAGACGCGGAGAAGAGCCCAAGTGGCTTTAGCCGAGGAAGTGCGTGTCTGTCACGAAGTTACTAACGAATATTCACTTGTTTTCACACATGCTCACTGCTAAATGTAGCAAAGCGAAGACCCGAGCCTGTCAGAGCATAGAACATATCACTGCGTGATGTTATAAACAAAAATACACTGAGAACGGGTCACGATGCGTAAACAAGCTGCGTGAATATGTAAGTGGATTGATGCGTGATGGGCTTCGCAAAAAGCAAAAAAAAAAAAGTTCATGTCGGCACTTAAAAATTGTATTTCAACTGTGTCCCGTTAACATTGTTGGCGAGGGCGGGATGGGACGTTCGTGGGTCACAAATGCTTTCAGGTCGTTTACGTTTGCGTTCCTTGTGGCCTGATGTAAAGCCAGCAGCGCCGCACATTTGTGTTCGGATTCGGCAACTGCGTGTTTGTTTGTGCATAATTAGTATGTCTCCGTCCCACTACGGTGTGGCCTGACTGCTGCACGATCGTCATTTGCTTACTATCGCGGCCTATACACCAATCATTGTCACTCGCTGTCCCCAGTGATTATATGTCCCAGAGTACGAGGTCAAGGACTTGGCAAACGTCTGATGCGCCTGGCAGAGGAATACGCAGCAAGGTGGGCACTCCAGGGCCGACCGCGCTGAGCGGGCTGGCTTTACGGACAAGCCCCTGGCCTCCTTGGCGCGTCTGGACTGCGTAACTAGCTGCGTGGCAAGGTTTGCCGGCGAAAGGTTTTGTAGTTGGTCAGCTGCAGGTAAACGTGATATTGGACCATTCATAAATCGACGGTACATTTGCTGAATAAATCAGCTATGCCACCGGTCACAAATGGAGCTTAATTCTGGATATCGCATGGCTGATCAGGGGAGTACGATAGAAGCAGGATAACGGCTAAGATTTCTGGAGTGTATGACACCTGACCAACCCATTTGGAAACTTGCCTGCATTGTGTCAGCCAGCAGTGCAGGAGGATTGTGTTACACATGGTTTTTCCAAGACATCAAAGCACATTTCAGCTGTGGATGCGATGAGGTAATCCAAAATTGCATTTCAACTGAGTATACGTTTCGTAATCTAGCATGTCAGGATCGGAAATGTCAGTGCCAGAAAACGGTTACCTTCTCTAGGTACATTTAGGACTGGTTTTACTGCGTATAGCAGCCAAACGCGTTCATTTTGGTGCTCGTAGTTACATTAAGCCGGGTTTGTTACCAGGTAGCTGCCGTGGTTTTGATACGTTTCCGTTCTCGTAGAGTTCTGTCGTGATCTGGCCGGAGAGTGCAGGTCGTGTGTACGGAGCCGATGTGATGTGTTGATGTTTGGCCTCCTTTTTCCTTATTTGTTGGCTGCACCAGGCCCATTTATCGACGACACCCCTTTTACATTTTTCTTCAGATCGCGTGATTGTTTGGTTCCTATGTCGACGGCATCATCTTCGCGGTCGCTGAGGTCACGATGCGTGCGAGTTGCATGGTGGGACCGCAGCAGTTCACTACCGCATCGGTCACGGGGCCACGCTGATGGCGGCCGTCGCGTGTCCCGGCAGCCGCGGGTGCCGCCAGCTGCTGCTCAGCACGCACGACAAGCAGACGTTCTACTCGCGGCTCGAATACATCCCTTGCCCGCCCGTTCAGACGTTCGGAGGTAGTCGCCGGCTGCTCCAGGTCAGCGGGGAGCGGGTCTCAAGGTCAGCAGGGAGCGGGTCTTCAGGTCGGCGGGAAGTGGGCCTCCAGGTCAGCGGGGAGCCGGTCTCCAGGTCAGCAGGGAGCGGATTTCCAGGCCAGCGGGGAGCGGGTCTCCACGTCAGCAGGGAGCGGGTTTCCAGGCCAGCGGGGAGCGGGTCTCCACGTCAGCGGGGAGCGGGTCTCCACGTCGGCAGGGGGCGAGTTTCCAGGCCAGCGGGGAGCGGGTCTTCAGGTCAGCGGGGAGCGGGTCTCCAGGTCAGCGGGGAGCGGGTCTCCAGGTCAGCGGGGAGAGGGTCTACAGGTCAGCGGGAGCGGGTCTCCAGGTCAGCGGGGAGAGGGACTCCAGGTCAGCGGGGAGCGGGTGTCCAGGTCAGCGGGGAGAGGGTCTCCAAGTATGTGCTGTTCGAAGCGTTGACAGCGTAATTTGGCATCACAAATGATTAAAATGAATGCTCTTATCATGTACCGACGGGGCTGCAGTGACACTACACGATGCTGTTATTAGACGTAACCAGTCCTGAGGTTTCACGTGTGTGTTTTTGAAATATGCCGCAAAGATGGGACACTCCTTTCAAAGGCGACTGAAGGGAGTGTCATGGGGAGTTTCATGGGGAGAGACGAGTTTCATACCATTGGTTCACGTGGTATGCCTCACGTATTCACGTCACCAATATCAATGGTACGAAATATGGCCTCACATGACATGGGGTGAAATGACGCTCGCTCTGCGCTCACTTATGGACGTGTGAGGACACCATTGAACGCAGCAGTCGTATCGTCCATAAGCCCGCTCATTATCGTCAGTCCAAGGACGCCCAGCGCATTGCAAGGACATTTTCTCCCATCCTAGAACCGGCCCTCCAGTGGGCACATGTTGGCAGTCACTCTGACCCACACACTGATTTCAGGCTACCGCCGGGATCTCGGACAGGGGACATCCGCCCGCCTCCGAGGGAGCCCCTGCCAAGCTCACACCCTCGCCAGCGGGCCCGCCGTGCGGCTACTCCCCGCCGCCCCCCAGTGGGGGTCCCGCGGAGCCGCCGCCGCTGCCCCCTCCTCCTCCACCGCCGCCGCCTCCGCCGGTGAACGGTGTCCTGCGGTCGGCGGCGCGGCCGGCGCTGCCGCCCAAGGTGTTCATGAAGAAGGTGCTCGTCGGTGGATCGGCCCGTTGAGAGGTCGTGCCGCGAGCTACTGCTCAACTTCGAGGCCACTACGCGCAGTGTTTGATCGATAGTCGAGGTCGATTTGTTGTAACTTACTCACGAATGAGCGCCATAACGTGTGTTCGCACATTTCGCGGGTGGAGATTTCTCCCCCGACCACGAGGGACAGGCCGTCCCCGGTTACGGCAGGATTAGCCGAAGCAACCTAGTCATGAACTTCCGAGCAAAAGGTGCTGTTTTCCAGACGTGCATGCGTCGCAGAAAGCTGAATCGTGAAAACCGGGATTATTACTGTTCGTTTGGTTTGTTTTTTGCCGCACGTTGCTCGGAAATGTCGGCTACAAAAGACAAACCTATTTGCTGTGGGCGGATGGAAGTATCGTGAGTTTTCTTTCAAACGTATCCCAAACCACCAAACCGTTGATTTCCGGATTAGAGAACGTGCTAAATGTAGCTAGTTTCATATCCCTGAGCTCAGCGTTCAATTAGCAATAAATCAGGGTATTATTATTGCTACTACAGTATTAGTAGTACTAAATCAGATTAATGCTTTTGCTATTCAACGGCTTATCTTCTCTCCGGCTTAGCCAGCGCCGCAGAAATCTGTTTCGCGCTTTGGTGGGGCGTGAACTGGGGTGGTATCCTGAGAGCCGTGTAGGCCCCCGTGCAGAGCAGCTTATGCTAACAGGCGCTGCCGAGCGCGTCTGAGGTGAGTGGGAGCGCTTCCCGAACTGTTACGCGTCTGCGGCGAGGGGAGCTCTTCCCGAACTGTTACGTGTCTGCGGTGAGGGGAAGCGCTTCCCGAACTGTTACGCCCGGAATTGTTACAAGTTGTTTACTCACCTGATGTGAAATGCGGCCTTGATATTGCCGTCGTGTGTTTCTAGTCTTCGGTCCGGCTGGTACTATCTGGTACGACAGTCAACCTGTTTTGTGTATACATTGGAAGGAAGCATTTTCTAGACTGTTACATCAGCATGTTTATAGTCTTCGACCTGGCTAGTGCTTATCAGCCACGTTGATCAGCGTGCTTTATGGTGACCGCAAATGCGTACTGTTGCTAACGTGTTTTGGACCGTTCCGAGTGATGACTTTATTAAAATCAGTTTGGAGCAACTTTTTGAGTACAAAATGATACGTAAAGCACGCAGGACGCCGGACTATCTGGCAGGTCGCCTCGCGAATCTTGTTATTGATATGTCAACCGTTTTGATGACTTCTTCGCCTTCGCCTGTCGTCCTTCCACAAATCTAACGGGACGGGCAACGTTGTCACATACATGATGCATCCGGCTGGATGCCCGTGATACATCCGGTTGAATACCCTTGGCGGGATGGTTGTGCAACCGTTAGGGTGAACCGGGCTTTCGAACAGAGCCGGAAGACGTTTGGGTGAACACTATATTGAACAGCCTCGCCGACGGACCTGCGCGTAACATGCATTGCAAATTGCACGCATAGCATGACACGTGCGCGAAAGCCAACCGAAAACGCCATCCCACCGGTCACCCGGAGGTTCCGTGACGTCAAGCAGCGAGTAAGGCCTACAAAATGTTGATATATGAACGCAAGCACTAAAAACACGAAGCATAGGCAATAGTAAAACAAATGTACAAAGTTCTCCCCGCGAGTCGAGCTCGTTCTTGCAGTCGTGCCAAGCGACCCGCACGGGCGAGGCCAAGCAGCGGACATCTGTGAGTCGGCGCACCATGGCATGACACTGGTCCTCACCGCTCCCAGCCGTCACAACCCTCCACGGGCTGCGTGGTACCGAGAGGAATATGGCTCGCCTCCTTTGCTGTGGCCTCACACGAACACCATGATATGAAATGTTTGTTCCCCCACACAGCTGGATTATTGCATGATGGATAACGTTCCGATGCGCACACCCCGAATAAATGAGCTACATCATGGTTAAAAAGACTGCGTAATCAGAGCAGTTGGAGCCGTGAGGCGTCTTGTGAACTCGAGAACGGCGAATATTCCAGTCGCATGTGTGACCAGATGATCAAAAGGATTTAACCCAATGCACGGACCCATCCTCAAGTAAATAAGTCATTTCCCAACATATTGCATTCTTTCTGCTGACCACGGCCCGATAAGCTCAGTACTTTGCACAACGAGCATTTTAAACGCTTCAGGAAGCTCTCCATATCGCAGCATAATGTGGTGCATACTTCTGTTTACCCCAGCGGGAACTTCGAGGGTCGGACAATCCAGTCCGCACACCTGGCGTCAAGCTCTCCGTCACACAAACGTACCAACTGCAGTCGGCTCCCCTCTGAGCTCCGGCAGCCCGAGCGGCGGCCGCGCGAGGCCAGAGTGGCAGCCGCGAGCCGCCGGCGGCCGGTCGTACCTCCCGCTGCGCGCGGGTAATGACCGGCCGCGCGCTCCCGCGCCGCACGCCTGGGTCGCTCCCGTGCGCAATTCAAGCTCGTAGGGCGGAGGGAGGACATCGAACATGCTCGGTGCGCTAGGCGAGTACAGAAAACCGGACGGCACATCCTTCCCAGGGTTGACTACCGGACCGTGTCATCAGAACAAGCAAGCAGCTAAAACGACGCCGCCGGCATTTCTGCGGCCCAACAACCCGAATGCACAGAGGAATGTACCGTATTCAGACCACAGCCACATATTACACCCACTCAGCATGTCCACGCCGGATGCACCAGCTACACAGGGCGTTACAGCACAGAGCGGTCGATCCGAGCGCAGGACTTGCTATTCGCCAGACTTTCGCCTCGCCCAGCCGGCGGGGCTACCCGAGCCGGCGGCCACCGCCGGAGGCTCGGCGAATGTTCCGTATGCCGCGCCGTTCACACCAGTTTTCAGAGGCATGTCTCCTCACGAAGAACGGCCAGCCTTCACTGCGAGATGTGATTTAGCGACAGGTTTTTTTTGGACGCCCTGGGGATGGCAGCTGGGCCATCGCTTTGGACAAACTCATACATAGCCAACCAGCGATTCGACAGGAAACCCTAAAAATCTGATCAAAACAGACCGCGCCCCGCGGGGACCCCAATACCACTCCCCTCTCCCACACGGACGGTCAGCTCCCGGCGGGGAGCGGGTCAGTCGTCCCCACCAGCGCGCCTCCCCTCCCCCCTGCGGCGTCGCCTCCCTCGGGCGCGGCGGCGCGTGGGTAGGGGCCCTCACTGCTCCGCGGCGCGGCAGCTCCAGGCGGGCAGGTGGCGCGGCCTCTCGGCAGCCAGGTCCAGCAGCTTGGTGGCACGCGCCGCCGGCTTGGCTCCGCCGCTGGTCCACAGCGCCAGCACCTGGCGGCCGCCGCCCGCGTGCAGCACGTGCAGCAGCCGGCCGCCGTGCGAGTAGCACAGGCTGCAGGTGACAGGTGACGATCAGCGGCGCCGGCCCGCGCGGCCCATCGCCGCATGGTGTGCGCACCATGGTCAGGCGCCGTCCTGCAGGCTGGCCCCGGCGTGCACAAAACACGCGGTGTACGGCCGCGTCGCAAAAAAGCTAGTCAAACGTTCGCATGAAGTATTAAGTTCTGCTCGGTTGGCAGGTTAGGCCGCCATGAAAGCACACCACACTTCGACGCGAAGACACCGCGACCAAGAGCACGCGTGATCCAACCCATCACCACAGACAGGGGACCTGTTGTTCCTCGGCGCGACAGCGACGAGCGACGGCGCCTCTTGGCGATCGGCAGCCGGGCGGCCTGAGGTGCACCGCTCACCTGGTGACGGGCAAGCCGGCGGCGGCCGGCGGCGGCTGCAGCGGCTCGCCCACCGGCCGCAGCAGCCACGTGTCCCACAGCGTGACGGTGCCGTCCTCGTGGCCGGCCGCCACCACGTTCACAGCGCGGCCCTCGGTCAGCGCAGACACTGTCACGCCCGTCACCTGAGGCAGCGGTCGACGTCACGCCCCTCCGCCGGAGACATAGCACCGTGCTCCGGCACGGCACGGGGCGGGGCAGCAGACAGAACACCGTGCTCCGGCACGGCACGGCACGGGGCTGGACCGGGCTTCCCGCGGCATACCGATTGCAAGGCTAACAATATGGGATTCTGCTTTCTGGAGAAGTGAAACGACTTCTGCGGGATACCGCGCAGATGTCCTCAGTCAGGAGAGACAACTGCTAAAACCATTAATCCGTCGGCATGATCATGCCATGGTCCAACACGAGCAAACAGGTTGTGGACACGACGCAAACAGAGGGAAACGGAACAGGCCTACTCTGGAGGTAAGAGCTTACGCAGTATTTCAGATGAAGGGGGCAGGACTAAAAATTCGCCATGGAAACCAGGTTCAGCGTGCTGCAGGAACACAATTTCTCGGGTGACGTGACGGGGAAGTCACATCACGGATGGAAAAGCATTGTTTGGACCGTCGTCACCGTCTGGTGCGTTAGTTGGCAAAACTACACACCACACGAAGACGATGGTCTGAAGAATTATTTCATCTGCGACACTAATATCTCGTCTCAATTTGTTCGTAAAACTGAAAGAGTCGCATGCTCTCGATATTATTTTTACGTACATACCTACAGTTTAAACTACCGACATGCAGTCATGTACAACTAATACAAAGCATGGAGCAGCACATGCCCCCAGGGGAGGAGGTTGCTACGTGCGTACGCCTCTGACTGACGACCCGCCGCAACATAATGGGGACAGACCAAAGACACAACATCCCAGCGGGCCGGCGTCTGACGGTACCGATCACCCGCCAAACCAGCACCGCTGACTGAGCCTCCCCGGAGGAGCGCCGGCCGGCCGGCCATGACCCCGTGCTCACCTTGACCGGGCAGCCGCGGTGGGCGGCGGTGCGTCCGTTGATGGTGATGAGTTCCAGCGTGCTGGCGGCGGCGGCCGGCCGGTCCCACTCGCCGTACGCCACCAGGATGTCGCCCGAGGTGGGGCTGGTGGCCAGCACGTGCACCGCGCCGGCCACGCACAGCCGCCGCACCAGCTCCAGGCTGCGACGGCCGACACGCGTCCGTCAGGAGGGCGGAGGACCACGTGACACACGGGAGGCGGCTGCGGTGGCGGCGGCAGCACCGGCAGGCAACGGTCGGTGCTGGAGGCATAACGGACCGTCGCGAGACCGCCGGACGCTCGTTAACAGCTCACAACTGACCATTGCGAGACCGCCGGACGCTCCGTGGGCCTAGCAAATCGATGGGCGCACCGGTCCCCCCCCCCACGTGGGCCAGTTAAAATATATGTAGCGCACGTGAGAAGCCTATCTTCGGGCAAAATAACGGACTTTTAGAAATCTTCGCCATTAACAAAAGTTTGAAAAAGCATACAAAGCTCGACACGGTGATTGCAAATGTCATGTAATAAGAGCGACACGCTCGGGGTGTTGTGCTGTATCGGACTTGCCAGTTGACGCAGCATCCTAATTTGAGTCAGTCAACCTTCCGCACCTGATTGCACTTTCGCATGTGAAGAGCACGGGTACACGCGCCTTCGTGAGATGACGGACGGGGCGAGAGAATATTCGGCGTGGCGTTGGCACAGGCTGAACCCCGCCAGGAGCTCCACGGAAAGTCCCATCACCAGCCTGGTCTGTCCACATCCCAGTGTCTTCCACTCCCACCAACGAATTGCGAGCCGGCGTGCGACGAATAAATGAAAACCCATTGACAGAGAAGTGGGCACTTAATGAGCACTGCAATCCACGCGCCCCTCTAACCATAAACACCACCCCATACCAACGAGACGTTCTCTCCCAGACCCTATCTGCGACATCCGCCGTGACCGCTGTCCACCGTCCACGTGCCGACGTGCCGACGTGTCCACGGTCTCCACTCACGTGTTGGTGTCCCAGATGGCCAGCTGGCCCAGCACGTCTGCCGCTACCATGACGGAGAAGTGCGGGTTGGGCTGCAGGGCGGCCAGCCGCGCTAGGCCAAGCCGTGCCAGGCGGCGGCCGCGTGCGCCCGCCGACGCCCGCGTTTCGTACACGTGTACGGCGCCCGAGCGTAGCGCCACCCACAGCCGGCCGGCGGCGAACGCGCACAGCTCCACCTGACGGCCGGCACGGACACCTTGACACAGCACTGCCCGTGACGGCAAGGGGAAGACGGAAACAGCTGGGAGAGCGTACCGGCTGCCCGGCTGGTGGGCCGGTGCTAACCGTCAGCCGCGGGATGTGTGAAAGACTGCGGGATATCCGTTGCACAAAACCCGCTCTGCTATTATTTGTCTTCACCTTCCCGCTCACCGCAAACCAGGCCGAGTATGACAAAGGCAGAGCAGCGCCACCTAACCCAGCCTGGTGCAAAAACATCTTAATACCGGCACAGTTCGTGAGCTATCTGAACGTTAAACCGATGTGTCGCGCCTTCAAACCCAGCCAGCGGACACCCGCGCAGGCGATGGCCGGGACTCCACCCATCAGCCTCACCTGGTCTCCGGGAGGCGGCGCCACAATCGGCTCCGTCAGCTGATCGCGGTGGCGGCGCACCAGCCCGTCCGCCTGACCCCAGTTGACCCAGCCGAGCTGGTCGGCCGCCGGCGCCGCGCCGAACACTGCAACACCACGGCCCTTCGTCACACGACTCACATAATGATCCCACACACGAGCTCCGCCCAGCCAGTGACCTCTGACTGACCGATCGACCCCTGACTCGGAAACGACGCGAGAAAACAGTCACCGATTGTTCGTTATCAGCTGCATCTGATACACCTACACACAGAGATCACAAACTTGTCACCGGAGATTTTTTCGCCGTCTGGTTCGGAACGCTTCTGCTTCGAGAGGTTTCCTGCCGCCTTGGAACGTGCCTGAGGCGGTGTGACGTCACAAAGCCACCAGCGGCCGGCCGGCACCGCGCGCGACAGCCTTTCACGCGGTCGAGAAGACTCCCATAGCCTCTAGACTATAGTTTCCGAGACCTTTTAGATTAAAGATCTGAAGCTTGCACAATGTTCTCAAAGAGTCATCGTACAATCATACATACGTTTGTGAAAATATAAGACGCCAGTCATGGGTGTTGATTGGTATTCCTTTGTGGGTACCCGGTCCCGCATAAACCACGCAGAGGACAATGTCAAACGGATACAAGTCTCATTTACTTTCTGGCTGTCAGAATAAAGTGGCTTACCCCGCTGAAAACGTACATTTGGAGGCTAGGACGTCGGATTATAAGGCTGCCCCCTGTCACATACAGAAATCGACGCCCTTGACTCGATTCGACACGAATCGCATCGACGCAGGCCGCCGCTAGGGGTTTTGTGGGTGGGTTCTGCGGGCTGGGAATTTCAGTCGGGCACCACTTTGCGGACCGCTCATAGCCATTTCCTTTCGTGATGTTTGCGGTTCTGACAACTGACTTGCCACCAAGGCGCCACAATTGATCAAATGACGTGACAGAATCAGAAAACGGTTCCAAAGGTCGCACTCTATTTGGGGACTTGCAAAGAAGCTTCAAAGACGAGCTTCATTAATTGCTCCACATCGGACCAGATGATTCCACGCGCCAGAACCACCCTCGACTGCAGCCCACTGTCAACAATCTGGCAAGCTTTCCTACAGGACACAAAACCTTCCAGTGAAAAAGGAAACTTGTCGAAACAAATACAACTTTTGAAGTTACCATTTTCGTCATCAGATAGGGTAGTAGTCACCAGAGCAGTGGTAGGTAACTCCCAACAGTCAGCGGCCCTGGCTGACTCGATGGCCGCACCAATCAAACAACACCAACGGTAACAGTCGCCAGGACATCTCTGACGTCCACACGTCTCGAGCCTCTCCCACACGACGCCGCTCCCAGGCCGGCCAGCGGCAGTGCGCGCCCAGCCGGCGGCCGGCGGCGGCGCGTCGCTCACCGTTGCGTCGCGTCTGGCGCCACTGTTGCGCGATGCAGGTGTGCGGCGGCACGGTCAGCACGGGCCCGGGCGGCGCCACCTCCAGCCGCCAGACGGCCGGCCCCAGCGGCCGCTGCCACACCACGCTGGGCGCCGCCAGCTCCGGCGAGCCGACGTACTCGCCCCAGCGAAGCCCGGTGACCGTCGGCAGAAGCGGCGGCTGCAGGTCCAGCTCGGGTCAGCGGCGGCGGGACACGAGCGGCGACACCGGCGGCGTGACACGAGCGGCGACACCGGCGGCGTGACACGAGCGGCGACACCGGCGGTGTGGCACGAGCGGCGGCGCCACTGCCGGACGGGACCGGCAGGTCACCTCTCACCCTGGCAGGTCAGGCGGGCACCGCGGGTACTCCTGGCAACACGGACGGTGCCGCAGAGCGGACCGCTGGCAGCCGCGTACCTGGACGGGCCGGCGCCCCTGGAGTCGGTCGGCGACGTGCGGGTGGGCAGAGCGGAACAGGCGACGCGGCATCTGGCCGTAGGTGCGCACCATCGTCAGACGCGCCTGGCGTGCCATCGCGTCCTCGTATCGGTCCACGTCGTAGCCCACGTACGTCTGTCGGCCGAAGACGTGGCGGCGTGAGGCGCGGCGGGCCCGGCCAGCCAAGGCGGGCGGAACGGCCACCATCGGAGGTCCGGTGGGCAGCGCGCCGGGACGAGGCGGCGCGCCATGGTGACGGCGCTGGCGTTACAACCCACGACCCAGCCTCACACTTCTGCGAGCTGCGCCGCCGGCGGCGCCTGGACAGGCCCGTAATCCGCCCAGCCCGCAGCCCGTCCCATCCGCCCACCGACACCGAGGCTGGCCGACACTCACAGCCGGGTGGAACACGTTGATGGCCTCCACGGCCGCTTGGCCGGTCTGCTTGAAGCCGAACACGAGGTCGAGCCAGTGCGGCAGGCCGTGGCGCACCGCCTCCGACTCGAGCGCCTGGCGCAGCACCAGCACGAACAGGCGCGCCGAGTGCTGGCACCAGGGCGGCAGCACCACCGAGTCCACCGGCTCGCCCGTCTGGCGGCGCCCGATGTGGAAACCTGCCGGTACCGGGGCAGGGCGTGGGCGCGTGCAGCCGGTGGCCGCCGCCGTCACGTAGCGGTAACAGCACAGAGCGTCTGGACGGTCAGTGCCCAGTGGTGGGAGCTCCGATCCACGCAAGGCCTCTAAGTGAGTCTGTTCCACGATCATCCCCGCACGCTGCGGGTAAAATCCAGCCGCATACCTGCCCGTATTCGCCGCGCCCTTCGGAGCACTGGTTAATGGAGCGGATGGCGACAATTCAAGGCGCGAGGGACCGGCGTCGTTCTGTCAGCAAAGCTCACACTTCAACAGGCAGCCAGGCACCGGCAGTTACCTTTCATGTGCCCATGCAACGCATCGCAGACACAGTGTGAGACATGGGGTCACTTGGGCTCCCACCACGGCAGCGTTTCGGGGCGGATCGAAGGGCGCCGCGCCACGCCGGTGACGCACCCTGACTGTTGGCGAAGAGCTCGTGCAGGAAGTAGAACTCGGGGATGAGCTCCTTGAAGTCGGTGTTGGACGCGGAGCTGGAGAGGTGCCACACCTGCTCCACCGAGTGGAACGTCCGGTCCGGCAGGTCAAAGTTGCCATCTGCCGCAACGGCGCGCGCGTGCCCTATGTCAGCATGCCGCCATCGCGCACGAAGCCATTCGATGACCGGCAGAACTTGGGGGCCCCCTGTATCGTGACACATGGCGCAATGAAGTCGAAGTAGAAGTGGACAAATCAACATGCAGCCGTCCACACAACCGTTTTTGTACCTGCGAATTGCTGGCACTTCCAACAGGCAAAACTTTATGGGAAAAGGTGGTTATTTCCAAGGAAAACATAACACGCATCGGGTTTAACGCATCGCGGACAGCGTCTTTAAGACGCGACCGGGCGCTCACCTTGGAACCTGAGGAAGAGTTTGGTGAAGGGTGGCAGACGCACTAGGAAGTGGAGCACTATGCCCGAGTTGGAGTAGTGGGTGCCGTAGTGGTACGGTCCGTCAATGCCCAGTTTCTCTGGCGAGCCGAACATCTCTGACTGCAGGTACTGGCGAGCAAGAGCGCAAGGTAAGCCGACGACTGGAGCGCCTCCCCCACCCCCACACACACGGTGCAATGATCAATCCATTGGGCTTTAAATCTCGGCAATGTCAATCGAGAAGCGCCAATCGACAGCAGCACGCGCCGACAACAATTACCCGCGACGCACGAGTCCGTTGTCATAAGTCATGTCCCCGTCATCAGGCACTGCTCCCAGCGGGCACTGCTGGCTATGAGCCAGCTCCCAGCTGCGCTGGCGGCTGGGAGTCCCAGCGGACACTGCTGGCTCCCGGCTGCGCTGGCGGCTGAGAGTCCCAGCAGGCACTGCTGGCCGGGCGGCTCACCTGGTACCGTTCGCGGTAGTAGGCCTCCCGCGTAGGGTCCTGCACGCCCATAGGTCGGCGCAGATCCCGGTAGACGGCCGGCTCCGCCAGATCCAGGCTGTCCGAACTGTAGTCGCGCACGACGAACGGGAACACCGGGTACTGCATCAGGTCGTTGAAGGTGCGTCCGGCCATCTTGTTCAACTGCATCAGGTATTCGAAGTTGGTGATGAGGCCTGTGACGCACAGAAGGCGGATCATGGCTCTCAAGCGTCGACTGCCAGGTGTCAGGTGTCAGGTGTCAGGTGCAGGTGTGGGTAGGGGCCAGAGCCGTCGATACAGTACGGCACGGTCAAGCACATCAAAAGAACGTGACGGTACGCTGTTGAAGAGCCCATCAACCCCCGTCCCCTCCCTCCTCCCCCAAGGCGGCCGGCCTTTCGCCGGGTGCTGCACTGTCCCAGCCCCCCCCCCCCCCCACACACACACACAACCACAGCCATACTTCGGGGCCCTACGTTATGCCGGCAGTGTCCATTCCGTGTCCGACGTCCATTCTGCCGACGGTCGACATAAGGTCAGAGCTTTGGTTTCTCTTCGGGATTTAGAGACACTAGGAAAATTTATTCTCAAATCTTACTGAGCGACAGAGATTTGTCTTGTTCCCAAATTCCTAAACAGTCAAGCTTGCGACACATACAACAAACCTGATTTCACTCAAGTTGTGATTCTTTATGATTGTTCGAGGTCACCAACTATCAACAGTCCTCAACGAAATCCATCTACTCAGTTATTACTGAGTATTGGTGTCACGTTTCTGAAGCTTCTGCCCGGGATTATTATTATTCATAAATTTGTAAATAAGGAGAATGTGGGATGCGTTTTGGTATAGAAATGGGTTGTACACGCATGGAAACTGTTGGGGTGTAGATGAGTGCTCTGTGGAGACTAGGTCATTTTGAGGATGTATGTCTGGTTGAGTTATGTGCAGATGACACAAGTCAAGAATTTCGGTTTGCTCTCAGCAGTGCTGAGAACAAAGGTGTGTCAGCGAACGCCCAGTCCGCACAATATGCAGTTTTGAAATTCATTCGCAAATGAAACTTTATTCTCATGGATGGAATATTTGTTCGAACTATCGTCCCCGTTTGTGTTAATACGGAAACAATAACACACAGACGAGGACGACAGTCCCAACAATTACTCCATACGTGGCAATACCTCGTCTCCATCCTTCCGTGAAATCACAACCCCATTCTCAATGTGCCTTCTTCACATGTGAATGCAGGTATGACGATACATGAATCCGCTGCCTCAACAGGTGGCCTCAAATGTGTGTGTTTATTCTGCGCCATCTCAGGTCTCGACACCGACACGCTTCTGTCGGGCAGCCAAGGCGAGCCCATGCCCGCCCGGCAGTGTGCTGGGGTGTGCCGACCTTCCCTCCAGCGTTGCGTGAGGTCGGCGAGCGCCTCGCCCTCCATCGGCTGCAGGCTGGGACAGCTGAACACCTCCGACAGGAACCGCTCGCGCACCTGACGGCACGCGGGAGCCAGACACTGTCAGGTCAGCCTGGCTGGAGCAGCTGAACACCTCCGACAGGAACCGCTCGCGCGCCTGACGGCACGCGGGAGCCAGACACTGTCAGGACAGCCGCCGCCACAGCACACGCAGACCAGACGGACAGCAAACGGAGGCGACGTGGACGGAAAACAGTCACCGGAAGAACCTCTCTCAGTTGTGGGCGCGACACACACCACTGCCTAAAACGTGCAGTGACTCGTGTGCCATCGCTTGCAAGCATAGCATATCATACGCATAAAGTAACGGGTGGAACAAAGGGACCATGGCTCGCATGTGAGGGAGCGGTACCGGATGGCGTCATGGCATGCCTTCAAAGCAGCCTCTGCCTGGACAGAAGAGCAATATCCAACGCTCTGGGCCGTATATGTCCTTACTAACACTAAGTCTGCTCACCGACCCCGCTGCAGCTGCAGTTTAACCCTTGCGCTAAATCCAATAAAATAGGAGGAAAACAGGCCGAACTATCACGCACAGTGACGCGCAGCTGATCGCGACGTAACAAATATTGTATAACGACTGTACATGTAAGTGCACTGCATGGTGGCCATGTGTACTATTCTCTCATATGCGACTCAGGGATTAAGAGCTGCTGTGATAGTGACTTAACCCCACAGTGCACAAAACAGATACACGCGCATGCGTGCATACATGTATACGAGCATACACACATACATACATGTATACATGTATGCATACACACATGCGTACATGCATCAATAGCAGACTTATCGGCAAGTACCAGCATCGGAGCAGCCACGGCTCGGCCGCACGCCAGCACACGCGGCCGCGCCGCGGAGCGAGCTGTCAGCGGCGGGTGGGCGGCGAGCACCCACCTCCTGCGAGGCGAACGTGATGAGGTGGGTGCTACCGGTCCGCATGAACAGCTCGACGGCACACTCGCGCAGCTCGTAGCGCCGCCGGTGCAGCTCGCACACGTCCTCGCACGGCCACCGCTGGTAGCCGGAGTCGGAGTCAACCACCTGGCGGCGGGAGCAGCGGTTGGTCCTCACGCTACCGCCGATGGCGGCCACACGGCCCGGCACTCATCGCACGACGGCAGAAAAGGCGACAGCGCTCCTGAAAATCGCCAGCTCCGTGCGGCAGCCATTGCATTATGTCCCGAGAGGCGTCGCTCCCCATCAGCACACGCGCGCATGACACCAGTCTGCTGCACTGCTCTGCAGTAGTCTGGCGGCGCCGGCTCGGCCGCGGCCGTCTGCGTCCTCCTCGGCGGCCGAGCCGGCCGAGGTCGAGACCCACCAGCCGAGCTGGCCGGGGTCGGGACCCACCAGCCGAGCTGGCCGGGGTCGGGACCCACCAGGCGAGCTGGCCGGGGTCGGGACCCACCAGCCGAGCTGGCCGGGGTCGGGACCCCAGCCGAGCTGGCCGAGGTCGGGACCCACCAGCCGAGCTGGCCGGGGTCGGGACCCACCAGCCGCGCCGACGGCTCCTCGGCGGCCGAATCGGCCGAGGTCGGGACCCACCAGCCGCGCCGACGGCTCCTTGGCGGCGCGTCGATCCACCACGAAGTAGAGGCTCGAGTCGCTGATGAGGATCTCGCCGGCCACGCCGCCGTCCAGCACGATCACCTCGCACGGGGTCATGTACCTGCGGCGGCAGCGGCGGCGGCGGCGGCGGCGAGGTTATGGACGTCTAATGGCGGAGCAGGTCGGGACGTGCGGGTCCGCAGCATACAATCGGGCAAGGCAACATGGCGGGACGGTTCGGCAGGGTCACAGCGTTTCAAATTCCTACAGGCTCCTACCGGACAAAAAGTAATAACTTGGGGGGGGGGGACGCAAGGACCCAACCTGATATCGCCCGTGAAAAGCCGTTGCGATGCCATGGCCATGACCTGACCTGACCTGACCTCAGCTGACATGATCTGACCCGTTCCCCACCTGTGCCCAATGACCTGAGCTGAGCTGACATGGTCTGACCCGTTCCCCTTCTGTACCCAGTGACCTGACCTGACGCGGTCCGTGTGCAGCTGCTCGATGTAGTGGGATGACACTTCGGCCGCGCTTCCCGACAGCAGGAACGACAGCGGCGCCGGCAGACGGTCGCTCTCTGTAACGGCGCGCCGCCGACCGGTCACGGTGGCCATCAGGCGTGCGCCGTCGCCTCGACGCGGCCCGCAGCCGGAAGCCACACACCCACAGCGATCGGGAGAATGTACGGTCCGAGTCACCGCGCCAGCTGCTCTGACGTATGCCAGCCCGGCGTCAGGTGCTTATAACGTGGAGAATGTTACACGTCATATCTACGTGCCATATGCCTGCACACATATGACGTCACGCATCGTCATACATATCTATATGGAAGATGCATATAATTCGGGAGCTGAAGGCCTAGCGCTGCGGTAAACGCAAGACGACCCGTATCGAACTGGGCCGGGCGCCGCTTCTACGAGAGCGGTGCTCTTACCCAGGCGGCGCGAGACGTCCGGCTTGAAGAAGCGGGATGCCAGGTTCAGCTTGGTCTTGCGGAGCCGGTTGCGCTGACGCAGGAACCCCTCGGTGGGGTCCAGCTCCCAGAAGCTGTGCAGAGGTCGCCACGCGGTCACACGACGAGCGGACGGGACGCACGGGGCTCGTAATGAGCCCAGGGATGTGCACACAGCCTACAAGTGCAAAATGCTGGCGGCATGTCTGGTCATGTATCTGCGTCAGCTAGGTCTATGCATGAATGAAACGTGACCATAAAAAATGGCAGGAAACTGCACATTGGTAAGCCCTGTAAGCCAGTTGGACACTGAATAATCATTCACGCGTCTGTAGCTCAGAACGGACACAGGCCAACGCCAACGATGTCGACAGGGAGAAAAGCGCTAAAGACAAGTCATACGCCGGTTCGCGGAAGAAAATGGCCACCCACAAGCGACGGCTCCACTGACGGTTTCACAGCGGTGCTGCCGGCCTGGCCGAAATCTGACAGAGCGGCGCCCCGCCCCCGCCCCGGCCCGGCCCGGCAGCCGGCGCCGGGGTAGCGCCACCGCTGACCTGTGCTCCGTCTCGGGCGGCGCCCCGCCCCCTCCCCGGCCCGCCCCTGCCCGGCAGCCGGCGCCGGGGTAGCGTTACCGCTGACCTGTGCTCCGCCTCGGGCGGCGCCCAGGGGGCTCCCTGGTCGGCCATCTGTCTGACCACCTGGCGCCAGGCGGCCTCCACGCGGGCCCTGGTCATGGCAGAGGCCTGCAGGATCTGGCGGAGGCGGGGCGGGTGTCACATATGCGGCTGCGATGCCGCACACCAGTCGGCGCCCCCTGCTGGCGCAGTATTCAGCCGCCGATGGTCAGCCTCGGCGGCGGCTGTGAAGCCAACGCTGAAGCTGACCACCGGTGTTGGAGCCAGCCTTCGCCAGCGGTGACGTCGCAAACTGACAACGCTTTACATGTGCCGTGCTAATAAAGACACAGGAGAGGTCATTGTCACGAGCCTTAAAGCAAGTTGGAGCGACTCCCCCCCCCCCCCACCCCCTCCCCCCGCCATTGCGGGGATCAGCACGGTTCGAGGCACAATGCTGTAGCGAGAGGGCTGAGTTTGGTCGCGGGACGGCCAGCCAGGCCCCAGTTCGGCCAGCGCCTGCCGTCAGCCGCCCACCTGCAGGTAGCCGCGGCGCGCCTCGTTCTGCCGCTCGCTGGTGACCTCGGTGGCTCGGTGGGCTGACTCGCACACCCGGTGGTAGTGCGTCTCGAAACACTGCGTCGCCCTGCAGGCGCAAAGACGGTGACGGCGCTCCGCCGGGCGGGTTCGCACGCCCCCGAAATCGGCCCCACGCCGCGGCGCGCAGCCATCACAAACGGCCAGTGTGTTCCACGACGACTCGACTGCCGCAAACATCTGCAAGGTACTCCAACAGGCATGACGTCACACTGACCGGCAGCACGTCAGAGACTGGCTAGGACCACCGCCATCAACGGCGTTAGTCACGTGCCGTACAGCCAGCCGGACAATGCTCTCCAGTCCCGTCCGCGAGCTCCTACACAGCGGCGCGCCGCCGCACGCGCGCCGCCGGCCCGCTCCACTGACTTTCGTTCGGCGGCGACGAGATTTTTGCGCCATTCCTTGTAGCGCGCGGCCCGGTCCTCGCGCCAGAGCCGGATGGTCTGGTCCACCACTGTCCAGCGGGCCCCCTTCTGCCAGCAGTGAGCGTCGCCTCAGGTCACGGCCCGCTCGGGCGCCACGTGACGACATGGCGGCGGAGCGACGCGTCCGCGGCGCGACGCCGGCCGCGCGTGGCGGGCGACGGCACCTGCGTCCAGCGTTCAGCCCTGTGCCGAAAATACTCCCGCGAACACCTGCGATTGACACACACGTCTTTCGAGCAGCAGCCGTCAAATTAGAGCCCACGCCGGACACTGCCAGAAGCCCCCAACGTAACGCGCTGGGGTAGAGAAGAAAGACAATAAAGAACATGAACGAGTGCTGGTAATGACCATGAAAGCATTCGGCCAAAATACCACGAGCTAAGACCCAAAAGGAGCAAAGTCCACACTACGTGAAAGTAACGCGAAACTATTTTTTATTGACGTGCCTGCACAGTCTGTGTCAGTACGGTCTGTACAGTCAGCTACATGTCGGCACAGCCAGCGATATGTCAGTATGGCCTGCACCGTCAGTCACATGTCAGGACGGTATGTACAATTAGCGATATGTCAGTACAATATGTGTACTCTGCAGTCTGTGTCAGTACGGTTTGTATAGTCAGCTGCATGTCGGTACGGTCTGTACAATTAGCGGCACGTCAGTGCAGTTTGCGTCACGACAGTCTGTACGGTACGTCAGCACGTCAGTCAGTACGGCCTGCCTGCAACGTCAGTACGGCCTGCATTGCGACAGCGACGCTATTTCAAGTGGCGCGGACGGCCAGAACACACTTGTTCACAAATTGTTTGGACGCGAGACACTGCCTGATGTGATCCAGGATGCGACAGAAGCTCGACAAGCCGAACAAAAATATATCAGCGGCTCGCCCTGTCAGCTGCTGTCGCAGCGGTGCTCGCTGGACCAAAGCCCGCCATACAGCTGGCAAAGGCCTTGGAGACAGGAACAGACGACGTTGTCATGACAACCAAGGTCAGTTACGGGGTAACATTTGTGTACTGTCGACTGGGAAGGCAGTAGCAAAAACACCAGTCTGGACATGAGTGCGGAGGTGCCGCCCACTCGCAGCGCTAGGACATCAGGCGGAGGTGGGAATGCACTGAAGTTAGTCAGCAGAAGTCGCGCATCACTTCACCCAGCAATGTGGCAGCGAGAGGCGGCGTGTGAGTTCCATCACTGATATCATCCATCGGGCCGCACACTAGGACCCGCTGTGTGTGAAAACGCTCCAGTAAGTGGCTGCTCCTTACTTCCCTTACATTCGACTATTTGTTACATAACGACTGAACTTCGCGCCCCGTACCCCTCCCCTTACAACCTTGGCTGCGGCCCCGGACCAGCGCCGCAGCTAGAACCAGAACCCCTCTGGTCTGTCAGAACTGGACAATGCAGATACCGGAGGCGTACAAACCCGACATTGCTGGTCCACTTCTCAGGTACATGTGCGTCGCATCCTTTGTCATCTTAAGGACTACATATCTGCCATTCAAGCCCCCTCGCTTCGGGCTAGCTGCAAACAGCTGAGACCCTTCCCAGCCCAACACTGACACTGGTTGGATGACATTTTTTAAATAGCATCATCAGAACTCTATGGATGAAACTTGCCTTTGACGTTGAAAGCTTACTATCAACTGTCGGACAACGTTCGGTGTACGACAAACTACGAACCGCTGCCCCAAGCTGCATGTGTGCATGAGTATGTGTAGACCTGCCTGTGTACATGAGTGCTGTACAAGGATGTTTGCATGTTTTGTGATGACTTGTGTTACTTATTTGTCACATTCAGTACAAATGTTAACAGTCATGTCCGAATACTAAGGCTTTGCTTGGAGAATTCCTCAATGATGAATGACACAAAAAGGTGGGCAGCAATTTTGGGCGAAAAAACATCTTTATCCATTGATAATGCCGTAACGTGAAGCTAGCGGCATAATGAGCATAGAGTTCGTATGCGGTGTTATCGAGATACTGGTTAAATGACGATACAGAGCACCCGTTCGTTGTCCTGCCCATGTTCGACATTTCAGGCAGTGCGTTTATTCCAGGTTTGCTAAACAACGTTGTTTAACAAGTATGTCTGGTATATTGAAGAGCGACAACTCGAAATAAGAGCTCCGAACTTATGATACCGAAAAAACAGGAATTGCTGGATTTCCCAGGTCCAATCAGGTGAAACGTTTGCCCTACTTTATTCTTCATTTACATGCTACAAGACGCTTAGGCATAATGGTTATATTGTCAACTAGAGCATGCATTTTACAATCACCTGAATGAAATGTTCACAACCACATGACGGGTCAACCAACACCTACGATTCGAGGCGATGGCGGAAGGTATAGGACATAATGCAATGCTGGACGTAATGACGTCGAAGTCAATTTTTACATGTCTAGTATAAAAAGGCCATTACCTCTCAACGGCATGGGAGTTTAAAGTAATTATATTTCGAGTTTCTGGAATGGCCTTTAATTATAAACATAAGTGTCCCTCAGCGCCTGTCGAGTAACCCAGCTGGCACATACTTTGGGTCTTCGATATCAGGTCAAGTCACAGAAGCATGACCTCACCACCAAAAGCCTCACGGCTATTTATGCTTCCCTACAAACGCATGCATTCGTATTCTCCTTTTTGCTTGACAATGTTGACGTAATCAATATCCACACGTTTGACTGCATGCCGCTCTGTGTCCGTCATATCAAACAAGTCAACACTAAGCTACACTACAGCTCACATCAGGTCAAAACATGTGTTGAGTCAACAGCACTCGTGCCACCCTTTGGGATAAGTCCGCGTAGCTCGTACATTTTCAAGCTACTGAAGCCCTAAGTTGAGAATAATCAACCTTCCTTATCCCAGGAGGAGCTGGTTAAGCGACGTCATTAAACAAACATTGGCTCTACCAAAATTTGACTTTCAAACACTGCTTTAGCTAAGAAATATTGACGTTTCGAAGACTTGCAGCACGGAGCCTCTCATTACGAGCGCGGCCAAAGACCAAGAGCCCTCGAAAAGTCCGCGAAAGGCCTGGCCCTTCATGTAGGGTTTCGACACGTTGCGTTTTTTTCCTTTTTTACCAATGTTTGCCTCAAAACTTCGTTTATCCAGAGCGGCCCGGTATATTGGCCATTTTAAAACTAAATCCTAACCCACAATGACGAGAAACTAGGTACTTAAAGTATTTCATGCTTATCTGAAACATAATTTGCATAGGTTCTCTGAAACGGTATAATACACAAATCCTGTGCGATGGGGTGACCCGACACCGGCCAGACGACACCTGGCCTCCACTCTCGACCTCAGCTAACATCATTGCCCAATTCTCAACCCCCAAAGCAGGGCACCTTACAGACGTCGAACCAAAAGCATTAATGCTGCCCTTGGGATTATTTATCCGTACAACTCGCAGATTTCTAAACAAACCACTCAAGGCAAGCCAGCTAATCTGAACTGATGTAAAATAACGTGTACCATTGTTGCGGGTGCTGATGAGCCAGGAATAAGGCATTGGCTGTCATAAAGCATTGGCGGTTGAGGTATTTTACTCAACTTGTGATGCCATTATTCCGTGACAGGCACTAGCCAACCGATTCCTGGCTGATACTGATCGGGGATCTAGATTTTGAAAATTTATCGGCAAATTATATTTTGAGAAAGCAAGAGCTCATTTTCTGCCGGCTCGGCGGTCGTGGCTGGCGCAATACCCCTGGCGGTACAGAGCTAAGCCCGCCCCACAAACTATAAGGCTGACACAAGCTGAATTCATGACTGCTAGGCACACGTATAAGCAATGATGCGCCCAAATGTAGTAGGGATGCAAAGCAATGGGTTCAAATCGGGCAGCACAGCAATGCTTGTAACGCAATGAGTTAGTATAATGCCCTGTCATATCGATTAGCCTGCCTTGCTTGAATCTTAGAGGAGACCGGGAAAGAGTACATTTTAGCGACAGAAAGCATCAGAGTACCATCTATAGGTTGCCGTAGTTCCCATGCGTACTAGGCCAGCTGCCGTAGCCGGCCGGTCGGCAGCGGCGTACCTGCGGCGGCGGCGGCGGCGGCGGTAGGCCGCTCCTCTCCAGCGCCTCGGCCACCACGCTGAGCGCCCCCTGTCGGCCCGACGTGGCCACCGAGCCGAGCCGGTCGGGCGTGCAGCCGCGTCGGTCCGACGGCGGGGTGTCCGCGGCAGAAGCGGGGGCGGCGGCGGGAGCGGCGGCGGGGCGCACATCGCCGCTGGATGCGTCCAAGTGGTCGCCCGGCAGCGAGTTGATGGAGCCGCTGTTGGAGCCGAGCGCCGAAGGCGGCTCCGAGCTCAGGTCGGACGAGTAGAGCAGCTCGTGGAAGAACAGGCTGAACTGGGACGCCTGAGGGAAGTGGGGGGGGGGGGGGGGGGGTAACCGGGTGGTTAGAGAAGAGCAAATGTTCCCAACCGTGAGTGAGAACAGACTGCACATACAACAATTCAAATAATCAGGACGTCCTTCCTCCTCGAGGAAGAACGCATATACCGACCCAAGTTCGCTGGACGCCCCAAAGTCGCACAGTAATTGTACGTCACTCGCATTTCATCAAGGGACATACGAGTCAGCCAAACCAAGACTAGTGTTTGCTGCAGCTGCGGATCGACACATCGCACACGACCCCGTCGTATTCAGACACCGGACCGCAGCACCGAGACCATGACGTACCTTGTTGCTAGCGCCGAGCAGCGCCGATTGCAGCACCGAGTCGACGTTCGTGTCCATCTGGGCCAGGAACACAGCCACGAACACGCGCACGTCCGACGGCCAGTCGGGAGAGCTCAGCGTCACCAGCAGCGTCCCTGCAACGCAGGCATGGCCGACTAAGCAGAAAGCAGAGCCGCGGTCGCCGCCGAACGCTCCATGTTGCGCTAGTAGGTCCCTGTTATCCGACTTGGCCTCATTCAGAGCCAAGGGCGCTCGAGGCCCGTCCGCGCGGTCTGCAGCCCGCCCACGTGCTGACTGTTCTCTCGGAGTTGTTGGCGGCAGCCCCCGGCGCCCTTCGCAAGTTGGCCCTGAGGCGGCCGTCGGCTTGGGCGCAGACGGCGTCGGCCATCGGCAGCAGCGTGCCAGCGACGCTCCAACAAAATCGCCCCGCTTGGGACACGCTGTGGGCGCGCCGGCGCGCACCAGCCCCGCGCGCGCCGCCTTACCGAGCGCCGTCTTGAGGCCGGGCCGCGGGTGTCGTGGGCCCTCTCCGCGCCCCTCCGCCGCCGGCGTCTGCATGCAGATGACCACCATGGGCAGCAGCCACTGCAGGAAGCGTACCGTATGCTCCGTAACGTTGGCCGGGTCTGCGGGGAGGAGACGCGGCGTCACGTGACGGCGGAGACGGACACGAGACGGGCGTGGCGGTTCGCGAGTCAGGGCCGTGTGGCCAACACCCGGCTCTGCTGGCCGCCGGGCCGGCCAGCGTCGGCGCCGCTCACCCAGGTAGGTAATGAGGTCGACGCCCAGCAGCAGGACGCGCCGGTGCCGCTCCCGCAGCTCCCAGTGCGACGGCGCGTGTGACGGCGTGTCACCGGCCGGCCGGCCCACCGCCTCCTGCCAGGGGTCAGAGGGGTCAGCCGTCGGTCCCGTCCGCACCGCGCAGCAGCCGCCTGTTCTGTACGCGTGCTGGCTGGCAGTGCACCAGCCAGGCTTTGTATGAGCTGTGGTCGCACGTATTGTCATACCTTTTAGTCAGAGTCTAAAAAGTTGCTGTATTCTTTGAACGGTCTTTAGAATAAGTTGGAGGTTCTTTGTCAAGAGAATGGTTTAAGCCTCCTACATGAGGTTAGCGCATCCGACATCCAATGCCAGTAAGTTGTGAGGACTTGACAGGCAAACCTCCTTGGCAGGGCCTAAAGCAGACACCTAATAATCTAAATAATAATCCTCTAAAGCTCCACACTGGCAGTCCCCCCCCGCCGCTCCACACTGGCAGTCCCCCCCCCCCGCCGCTCCACACTAGCAGCCCCCGCCACTCCACACTGGCAGCCCCCCCCCCCCGCCGCTCCACGCTAGCAGCCCCCCCCCCGCCGCTCCACACTGACAGTCCCCCCCGCCGCTCCACACTGGCAGTTCCCCCCCCCCGCCGCTCCACACTGGCAGTCCCCCGGCCGCTCCACACTAGCAGTCCCCCGGCCGCTCCACAACGGCAGTCCCCCCCCCCCGCCACTCCACACTGGCAGCCCCCCTCCCGCCGCTCCACACTGGCAGTCCCCCCGCCGCTCCACACTGGCAGTCCCCCCGCCGCTCCACACTAGCAGCCCCCCGCCGCCCCACACTAGCAGTCCCCCGCCGCTCCACACTAGCAGCCCCCCCCCCGCCGCTCCACACTGGCAGTCCCCCCCCACCGCTCCACACTGGCAGTCACCCCCCCACCGCTCCACACTGGCAGCCCCCCCACCGCTCCATGCTGGCAGTCCCCCCCCACCGCTCCACACTAGCAGCCCCCCCCCCCCCCCCGCCGCTCCACACTGGCAGTCCCCCCCCCCCACCGCTCCACACTGGCAGCCCCCCGCCGCTCCACACTGGCAGTCCCCCCGCCGATCCACACTAGCAGTCCCCCCCGCCGCTCCACACTGGCAGTCCCCCCCCGCCTGCTCCACACTAGCAGTCCCCCCCGCCGCTCCACACTGGCAGTCCTCCCCCCCGCCGCTCCACATTGGCAGTCCCTCCCCCCCCCCCCGCCGCTCCGCACTGGCGGCCCCCGCCCACCGCTCCACACTGGCAGTCCCCCCCCCCGCCGCTCCACACTGGCAGTCCCCCCCCCCACCGCTCCACACTGGCAGCCCCCCGCCGCTCCACGCTGGCAGTCCCCCCCCCGCCGCTCCACACTAGCAGCCCCCCCCCCCCCGCCGCTCCACACTGGCAGTCCCCCCCCCCACCGTTCCACACTGGCAGCCCCCCGCCGCTCCACACTGGCAGTCCCCCCACCGCTCCGCACTAGCAGTCCCCCCCCCGCCGCTCCACACTGGCAGTCCCCCCGCCGCTCCACACTAGCAGTCCCCCCCGCCGCTCCACACTGGCAGTCCCCCCCCCCGCCGCTCCACACTAGCAGTCCCCCCCGCCGCACGCTCCACACTGGCAGTCCTCCCCCCTGCCGTCCGTCCACATTGGCAGTCCCTCCCCCCCCCCCCGCGCCCTCCGCCTCCGCACTGGCGGCCCCCGCCCACACGCCTCCACACTGGCACGTCCTCCCCCGCCTGCTCCACCACTGGCGGCCCCCGCCCTGCCCCCAACCCCCCCCGCTCCCACACTGGCGGGCCCCCCGGCCCCGCTCCACACTGGCGGCCCCCGCCCGCCGCACCAGGACGGTGGAGAGCGCCGTCTCGATGACGTCAAACTGCAGCATGACGACGGTGACGGTGGGCGTAGAGCCTGCGCCGCACTGACGCATCTCCTCCTCGTACAGGTAGTTCAGCACGATCAGCAGGTCGTACAGTACCTGCGGCGGAGACCCGGCGGGTCAGGAGGGCGGTCACCGGCGCAGCCGACACTTGGTCTGATCTGATCTGATCTGATCTGATCTGATCTGACCTCATCTCATCTCATCTGCACATCCACCTGCAGATCGCCTATCGAAAGCTTCTGGTCGGCGGCGTTATTGCGTGGTGTTGCGCGGCGTATGATGGTTAACGGAACCACGCTGCCCAGCAGCCGTTCAGTCAGCGACCCCCACCCAACGAACATCCCGCCGGGCACCTGGAAGTGTTTCTGCTGGTTGGAGAGCACCAGCCGGCGGGTGAGTGACGTCATCAGCCGGGTAACGTCATCGTAGAGGATCTGCCGCTGGCTGGTGCCGAGGTCGGTTAGCTGGAGCGGCAGGTGGGCGAGCCGGAGCGTGGCGCCGCAAACAGACTCCACCAGGCCGTCATCCAACAGCGGGCCCACCCAGCGCTCCATCTGCCGGGCGGTACCGCAGGTCAGCCATGGCCGCCCGCCCGGACGGCGACCAGCGGTGCAGCGGTCACCGCTGAGGGCACCTGGTCTGCGGGCACCACCAGGGCGGCCGCCGCCTGCCACCGCGCCATCTGCTGGCTGCAAATGAATGGACGCGTCATTTATGACCGTCCGTTGTCGGGGCACTAATTGCCAGACAATTGCAAGAATCACAAATGATGTGCTCAACGTCCCAAAATCCTCACTCTTTCCGTTACCGGAGCCGTGGCCACCTGCCACCCCTCCCCTCCGCCAGCTGGCGCCCACCTTGGTGACGATGTGCGTCAGCGCGGTGATGATGTTGTGACAGAGGCTGATGTCGGCCGTGGCGGCCGGTAGCAGGGCCAGCAGCAGCGTCAGTGCGCCCGCCTCCTGCTCGGGCCTGGGCGCGCCGCCGCCAGACAGTAGCCGCCAGCTGGCCTCCAGCAGGGCGGCCGTGGCCGGGTGCGCGTGCAGCTGGTTGCCCAGCAGGTGGAAGCCGTTGTCGTGCGTGAAGCGCTGCAGCTCGGCGGTCGGCGCGCGCTGCCACCAGACGGTCAGCAGCTGTGGCCGGCGAGAGCGGCGTGAGTGACGCGGGTGCTGTTGCCGCGACGAACGCCGCGCCAACGGCCTCAGCGGGCGCGCGTCCAACATACCAGAGACGACTCGCAGCCATGAGAGCGACTGCTGGGCGCGTCGCGTCTCACAAACACAATGATATTATCAGACTCAGCTTTAAGAATTTTAGCAGACGACCCCCTGGCCCAAACCGCCATATCCTGAGTCACCCAAACCCTCGCTGGATGTCATTGGCGGCGATAACAAACATGAACAAGTCACACAACCCGCCTGCCCTCCCCCTACCCCGGCTGGCTCCACCTCTTCCCCACCCCGCGCCTGAGGGAGAGCGGGGCGCCTGTCCGAGCCGCGCGGCTCCTCCCGACCCACCTTCAGCACGGCGGTGCGCGCGGCCGGCTCGTCGTGGTTAGCAAGTACGCAGAGATGTTCGGAGCGCACCACGGCCCAGGCGGCCGGTACGTCGGTCTCGGGCAGCGCCGCCAGCGCCGCCGCCACCAGAGCCATCAGCCGGGCCGAGAACTGGCCGCACGAGACGCCGCTGTCCGCCTGCCGGCATGCCCACACCCAGCCGGGTCGGTGAGGGGGTGCCGCGGAGCGCAGGGCCGCCGGTGGCGCTCAGTACCCGGCCTGCCCCGCGGCCAGTGAAACCACAGCAGTCGGGCATCGTTGTTAGATGGGTTCGAAGAGGGCATGGAAGGGGCTCCACCATGTTTACGGGTATAAAATACAACCACGGGGGTTCAGCATGCTAGCACGCTACCCGTTGCCAGATCAGCACCCTCCACGCTTCAAACCGCCACCTCGCCACGCTACCGGCACGCCGGAATCGTTCCCACGCCACTGCAGGCCGTTATGGGCGGCGCAGCTTCGTCCTCGGCCGTCGCACCTGCGGCTCGGACGCCACCGACTGCTCTGACTCGGGCGTGCGCATCGTCAGGGCCAGCTGCAGCAGGGGTGAGCGGCAGCCGGCCGGCGCCGGCGGCGGCGAGGCCGGCGGCGAGGCGGCCGCCGCCGGCTCCGTACTCCCGTCCTGCGAGCTCCCGCTGGCCGAGCGGCGGCCGGAGGCGGCGACGGCGGCGGCAGCGGCTGCGCGCACCGGCTCCGGTGACACGGTGGAAGGCCGCGGCGGTGCGGGGCTGCAAGCACAGCCAGGTGCGTGGTGAGCGTCGCCGCCAGAGCCGACGCACAACGCCAGCGAGCGGTCGACCAACACCACCAGACGGTCAACACTGGTGGACGTCGTTTGAGAACTATAAAGAACGATTTCAGGGACGGCAAGATAAGCCACGTGGAGAACACAGTCATTTCTCTTGCGCTACGCCTCACCACCGCAACATACGCGTTAAGCAGAAACACAATGCCAGCCGAACATCCCGCATTCGACCAAAACACTAGCCCGAGACCAATGTCCGGCGACGCGGCGGCGTCACGGCCGGCGGCAGTGCTTCCCCTTCCCTTCCCTTTCCCGCGTCTGTTGCAGCGCGCGGCGCGCGGCGGACAGGGCTACCTCTGTGGTAGGCTGTCCAGGAACCGGCTGACCAGCTCCTGCTTGCCGTCGGCCAGATCGCCGGGCGAGGAGGGACGGGCGAGCGGGCGGCGCGCGGCCGCCGGCGGCCCCGTCGAGCCAGAGCCCACCGAAACACGGCTCGGCGCCGGCGCCCGCTCTCGCTTGTGGATCAGCGCCGAGTCCAGCAGGTAGTAGCACGAGGATCTGGTGGAGGGCAGGCGGCAGCTGCTCAGACCGAGCCCGTGCGGACGGTGCCGACGCTGTGCGAAGGATTCCTACCACGGCTCACACACCAGCTCCTATGGAACAGGACCTGAATCCCTCATCTGATAGCATACAACAGCAGCTCACCCACACCGCGTTTGATTGTTTAATGGCACATCAGACGCCGTAAGTGCCTCCACACGGCGCCCACCTGGTCTGACAGACGAACATGCAGCGGGTGGGGTGCAGCAGCAGCACGGTGCGCCACAGACTGGCCACCACGGCGACGTCTGGCGGCGAGCCGACGAAGCTCTGAATCAGCTGCAGCAGGCCGGCCACCATCGGCCCCGGCAGCGCGTCCCGCTCCTCGTCCGTGTAGTACGCCTGGCGGGCGGCCGAGAGCAGTGGCCGTTCAGGCGCCGCCCGGTACACACCGACCCCCCCCCCCCCCTCGGGCGCAGACGGAGGGAGTTCAGGCGCCCGACACTCTTGGTGGTCCACGCGTACGCAGAACGCTAGCAACATGACTCTAGTCGCGCTAGGTTACGATGTCTAGGTTGCGAGTTACTTCGTTCATGATGGCTTGAAAATTCGTGCACAAGTCGATTTTTGCCAGAACTACCTGATCAACACCCAGCAGCAAGCTTTAAACAAGTTGCAGCTGCGTTGCGCCAAAACGGCGGCACTAAGCAGCCTTAGAGCATGGTCAGTCATCATCTTAAGCCCGGCACTCTTACCTCGCTATCGATGCTGTCCCACCCCTATCGAAGTTCCAACAAGACACAGCTCCAGGGTGAGGTTTCGAGATTTACGTATGCCAGAGATTGCACCCACAACCTCGGCGAAGATAGCTGCCAACAAACCTCCCGTCGTACGCTATCGTTGGGTGGGATCACCACAGCCTCCCCCTCCCCTCGTGGCCCTCCGCCGCTCCGCCCGAGCGTCGGGCCTTCCCACCCTACCGTGCGTCCCGCGCCCTGTCCCGCGCTCACGCCACGCCCAGCGGCACACCGGCCGGCCCGGCCCGGCCCGGCCCGATCGCGTCCGAGGCCTCACCGTGACAAACTCCAGCAGCACGGGCAACAGGCGCTTCTCCCGCAGGGTGTGCATGTTGAAGGTGTAGTACCTCTGGCGCTCGCTCAGCACCGAGACCAGCAGGCGCACCGTCTCCGACAGAAGCCGGCAGGGATCGGTCGCCTCGCTGCCGAAGACCAGGCATACCGACATACAGTCGCGCAGGTCCTTGTCTGACTGACGAAAGATGCGCGTACCGTGCGCACTGCCACTTTACATACTCAGTGACCGGCCACTCAGTGACAGCTCGGCCAGCCACCGGTCGACCGACACTGGCCATCCACTAGCTATTAACAGCACGCCATGCCATTCCCAATCTATCTCCGGCAGCTCACCATCCCATCCCCAGCCACCCCCGACAGCTCACCATCCCATCCCCAGCCACCCCCGGCAGCTCATCATCCAATCCCCAGTCCATCCCTGGTAGCTCACCATCCCATATCCAGCCCATTCCTGGAACCTTGCCATCTCATCCCCAGCCCATCCCTGGAAGCTGCCTTTCCCCAAGGCCACTCCAGCCGCGGTCAGAGGTTTCCCCAGTCCCGTTCCCAGTGAGCCCGCCAATCATCCCCGGGCAGGCCAGCCCGGCGTGATCTCCCCCTGGAGGCCAGCCCCCCCCCCTCCCCTCCCTGTCTCAAGCGAGACTACCATCCGGTCCTGAACGGCGGCCACCTCAGACTCGTCGTCCGGAGCTGGGAGACCGCTTCTGTCCCGTCTGTCCACAGCGGCCACCCCAGGTAACCTCAGAATCGTCCTCAGGCAGACCGTTCCAGCCTCGCCCACGGAGCTCCCCAAAGGTCGCCCGGGTTGGCCCTAGGGAGGTCTCCCCGGCGTCACCCCGGTAGGGCCGACCCGGCCCTGTTCCTCAAAGATTGCCTCAGGCTGTGGCCGGCCAGCCGCGGCCCTCGTCCCCAGAGCACGTCCCAGCCCGGTCCCGGCGCCGCGACGGCAGTAGCGGCGGTACGCACCCGAGCTCCGGCTCCAGCCACACGCGCCAGTGTCGGAAGAGGCCGACCAGCAGGTGGGGGCTGCGCACCACCGGCTCGCGCAGACTGACGCCGGCCAGCGTGTCAGGCGGTCGCAGCAGCACCGTGGCGCCACCTATGCAGGCGCTCAGGTACGCCTGCGGGACGGAGGGCGGCCGGGTGAACAGACGGAACGTAGCCGGAGTGCCGACACACGGCAGGCGGAGGAGCCGGCTCGGCCGTGGGACGCCAAGCCAGAGCCTGGAGGCACCGCGACGACAAGGGAGGCGGCATGGCAGAACATAAAGCCAGGAGGGCGGGGCGGGGGAGGGGGGGGGGGGCAAGAGCCACGGGGCCGCGAGCGCCGGCGCCGGCTGTCTCACAAGAGGGGCAGCTAAAGGTGCGTCGCGAGGGTCATGCAGGGGTCGAGGTGGGTCGCGAGGGTCACGAAAAGGTAGAGGTGTGTCACAAGGGTCATGCAAAGGTCGAGGTGTGTCGTGAAGGTCACGGAGGGGTCGAAGCGTGTCGTGAGGGTCAGGCAGCGGTCGAGGTGGGTCGCGAGGGTCACGCAGAGGTTGAGATGTGTCACGAGGGTCATGCAGCGGTCGAGGGATGGTGAGGGTCACGCAGAGGTTGAGGTGTGTCGCGAGGGTTACGCAGAGGTTGAGGTGTGTCGCGAGGGTTACGCAGAGGTTTAGGTGTGTCGCGAGGGTCACGCAGAGGTTGAGGTGTGTCGCGAGGGTTACGCAGAGGTTGAGGTGTGTCGCGAGGGTCACGCAGAGGTTGGCGTGTGTCGCGAGGGTCATGCGCAGGTCGAGGGGTGACGAGGGTTACGCAGAGGTTGAGGTGTGTCGCGAGGGTCACGCAGAGGTTGACGTGTGTCGCGAGGGTCATGCGCAGGTCGAGGGGTGACGAGGATCACGTATAGGTCGGCTGACGTTGGGGGAAAGGCGACCCAGCGGCCAGCAGAGGCCAACTGAACGACCGTCCTGCTGTCAGCTGGCAGCCGATGAATACTGCATTCGACGTTAGACGAGTTTGGATCACATTGGGTATCACCTGCCAGAATCTACCTGCCAAGAAAGTACAAACGCCCTGAATGCATTCGCAGCAAATCATCGTTAAATAACCACCTGCCGGACACCGCAGGCTTCAGGATTGACTGAAACGCATGGCTTCGTCGCGGGCCATGTCAGTACATGATTACATTCCGGCAAATTGCATGCAATCGGATAAACTTTCGCATGTGGATGGCCGACCACCATGTGCTAAACACCGACCACCTAAACATGACGTAACGTAAACCTCCGGCCGGCAGACGGACGGCGGCGCCAGGCGTACCCGCAGCGTGTGGGCGCAGACGACAGCCTGCGGCGAGCCGAGCACTGCTGCCACCATGTGCGGCAGCAGCTCCTCGGCCTCGTCGCCGGTCCAGCGCCACTGGTGGGCGGCTGCCCGCAGCAGGACGTCGAGGGCGGTCGCCTGTGCCGGCCCGGTCGCCTCCAGCTCCACCACCTGGCGCACACGGGCTCAGGTCACGGGCGGGCCTGATCCGACGCGGGGCGGGTCACGACCCGATGCCATCTAACGAGGGCGCCGCCTCGCGATTCTTTAATGTCTCATCGAGGTCCAGGAGAAAAGCCAGCCTCCAGACATGTTACAGTGCACGAGTGGCCAGCGCACAGGTCAGACGGTCCGCTAACCCATCAGCAATGCCACAGGGAATAACTATCGAAACGGGCTGCTCCAACCGCACCTTACAGACGCATGCGTGGCAGGATCAGCTCTACTAAAACACCGGACACGTGAGCGGATCAGCACCGGGCAGCCAGCCAAAACACACGCTGACGCGGCGACCGACCGCAGCGGTGCCGTCGGCGCCGGCGGGCGGCGGGCGCGGACCAGCAGCGGCGCGCTCACCCTGGCGAACAGGTACATGAAGAACTTGAGTCCGCCCAGCTGCGTCACGGCCGTCAGCAGGCGCGGTGTGACGGCCGGCCGCGCCGCCCACCGCCAGCTGAGCGCCACCGACTCGGGCACGCCGCCGCCCTCTGGGTACGCCAGCGCCGCGCTCGGCTCGGCCGTGCTGAACGACAGGAGCACGGCCGACTGGCGCCGACGGCGGGCCCGGTCAGAGGGGGCCGGCACCGAGAGGCTCGCTCTGAACGGGTGCCACACCGGAGCAGCGTCCCGTGGGGAAGAATGCTGGGGAGGCCAGTGAGGGGGACCGAAGATGTTCCCGGTGGGGAGAAAGTGCTGGGGAGGCCAGTGAGGGGGTCCGGACCAGTACCCGGTGGGGGGAGAGAGCTGGGGAGGCCAGTGAGGGGGGACCGGAGCAGTACCCGGTGGGGAGAGAGAGCTGGGGAGGCCTGTGAGGGGGGACCGGAGCAGTACCCGGTGGGGGAAGAATGCTGGGGAGGCCAGTGTGGGGGGACCGGACCAGTACCCGGTGGGGGAGAGAGCTGGGGAGGCCTGTGAGGGGGGACCGGAGCAGTACCCGGTGGGGGAAGAATGCTGGGGAGGCCAGTGTGGGGGGACCGGACCAGTACCCGATGGGGGAGAGAGCTGGGGAGGCCAGTGAGGGGGACCGGAGCAGTACCCGGTGGGGGGAGAGAGCTGGGGAGGCCAGTGAGGGGGACCGGACCAGTACCCGGTGGGGGGAGAGAGCTGGGGAGGCCAGTGAGGGGGACCGGACCAGTACCCGGTGGGGGGAGAGAGCTGGGGGAGGCCTGTGAGGGGGACCGGACCAGACCCGGTGGGGGGAGAGAGCTGGGGAGGCCTGTGAGGGGGGACCGGAGCAGTACCCGATGGGGGGAGTGCTGGGGAGTCCCTGTGAGGGGGACCGGACCAGTACCCGGTGGGGGGAGAGAGCTGGGGAGGCCTGTGAGGGGGACCGGACCAGTACCCGGTGGGGGAGAGAGCTGGGGAGGCCTGTGAGGGGGGACCGGACCAGTACCCGGTGGGGGGAGAGAGCTGGGGAGGCCTGTGAGGGGGACCGGAGCAGTACCCGATGGGGGGAGTGCTGGGGAGTCCTGTGAGGGGGACCGGACCAGTACCCGGTGGGGGAGAGAGCTGGGGAGGCCTGTGAGGGGGACCGGACCAGTACCCGGTGGGGGGAGAGAGCTGGGGAGGCCTGTGAGGGGGACCGGAGGGTTGGGGGACTGCAATGCTCATCAACATTTCATAACACAACAATCGCAAGCTCTCCAGCATTGTTACGAATACAAAGAACGTGCGACAATGAACTGTGAGTACATATTACGTAGCAAGTTTGTTCCAAAAAGCTGTGGCAGAAAAAAACTTATATCACCGGCAGGCGCAGGTGCCCCCAGCACCAACAACACACATTAAAGAGTATGTTGTAGTGATACATGGACTTGCTAGTCACTTAAACCATAGACGAATCATAGCCGGACAGAAAATCAGAAATGTCAATGGGGGAGTGACGGGAAAAATTTACCCCTCGCACACGTGAACCGCTGAGCTCTGTCTAATGAAATGGCTGCAAGTTGTTCAGTGCATTAGCGAGGAACATTATTCACATAGATAAGACAGTAGTATTAGCCTTATTCTTCGGAGAAAGACAGCAGAGAGAAGATATAGTGGGGTTGATCTTTTGGCAACATGCCTTTAGTGAACACCCACTTCTATGTTTCGAAAAAGGCATGTTGCCGAAATATTAACCCCACTTTACCTCCATTCTCCTGGTTTTTCTCCGACGAATAAGGATAATACTACTGTCCTAACTACGTGAAATGGTTGCAAGCTTAACGTCTACTTTACCTCCAGTTTCTTGATCATGTCACTGAAGGAGGATGTTATTCTGGCGATGTTGACCTTCTTGAACACGGCAGACGTCAGGCTGTCGGAGATGCTGACTTGGAGGGGCGTGAACCTGCCGGAGAATCATACACATGCACATGGAGGCCGGCATACAACCGACATGCATGCAATTGGTAACTTGAAGAACCTACCATAATTTCTGACATGCTGGTTCATTAAGCGATGTTGAAGACAGTGTTTGGACTTATTCTGGGGAAATGAAGCAGACCACAACTGACCGGTAACTACTGGACAAGCGACTTCGGATCCGCTGCTGCATCTAGTAGCACGTGATTTATATTTATGTGGGCTGGATACTTATGATATCCGGTCCAAGTGGTTTCATAACCTCAAGCGGCAAACTGTTCCGTACACGACGTGGCCGCAAGCGCCACCTCTCGACCGTCTGGGTGCTGCCGACCCCGGCAGCAGCACTCCTCTGGCGCCGGTCCTCCCGTTCCCCACCACACGTCCAGGCGACAGCGCCCCACTCCCGCGCGCGCACCCCCTCCCCTCCCCCTGAGGCCCCGCCCACTCACGCGCAGGGCGTGAGGTCGGCGCAGTCGGGGCCGAGCAGGCGCAGGATGAAGGCCTGGTCCAGGTCCAGCACCGGCTCCGAGAACACCAGCACAGAGGCCAGCTCGCAGATGGCGCTGGTGTCTACGCCGCCGGCACCGGCGCCGTGACCCAGCAGCAGCACGGCCGGCCCCGAACACGTGGCCGAGCGCACGTCCAGGCTTTCGCTCACGCAGCCGTCCACGTGCACCGTCAGCTGTCGGCGCCGACAGAGGGCCGAAGCGGTCGAGGGTCAGAGGGTCAGACGAGCTCACGTGAGGTCGGGCCGGGGTCAGGTGGCGGCGAGACGCGCACAGGGCCGAGACGGCGCGCACTGCGCGGTGTTGAAAGAACGCAAAAACCCTATCTACCAATCAAGACGAAGCATTCGGTATCGGAAGCACTCTCCTGGCATGCTGCGGCCCGCCGACGGTGCGTCGGGCCCCGCAAATATCTCGCCCAGCCGACTTTCTTCTCACCCATTCACGACTTGTGATATATTGTTGGCTAACAACGAGGCAGCTGTGAGTCATCCCTTAGATTGATGTGCGCAAACGAAAAAGCACAATACAATTATGTCAACGAGCATCCGGACCCGTTCAACATTCAACACTTTCTTGATGATGGTTATTGGGGCTTCAGGGCGCGCCAACGGCCGAGATCATTTTCGCCCACTCGCCGCTTTCTTAAACCTGCACCCTTTGTCATCGAAACATCAGACTCAGTGCACGGCAAGCGTCCGCGTGCAAGCCCCGACGGCGGTGCCGGCGCCCGCCCGCCTCAGCCGACCGCCGCGGCGCCGGCCGCCGTACCGTCATGTCGGCGCCGCAGGGCACCAGGCGGAGCGCCACGTGCGTCCAGCGGCCCGGGGCCAGTCGAGCGGTCAGCCGCTGCTCGTCCAGCACGCGGCAGGTGAGCGGGGTGCTTTCTGTGCGCCGCACCAGCAGGCGACGCGCCGTCCGCTCCAGCCACAGCTCGGTCAGCTGGCCGGCCGCGCCCACCGACGCCAGGTGGCAGCACTCGCGCTCCGCCGGCGGGCTCTTGGCGTCGGCCGGTGCCGGCACCGGCGCCGGCCCCGGCTCCGGCCCGGCCGCTCGCGTCCGAAGCCAGAGTGACACCGCACAGCCGGCGAACGGGTCGACGGGCCGGCGCGCGCCGCCGAGCGGCACGGACGCCGCCGCCAGCGCCAGCGCTGAGCCCGAGCCCACGCCTGCGGCCGAGAGCGCCCGGGCGTCACGTAACGCCGGTCAACAGCAGACAACAGGCGCGGACACACGACCCTGAACGATTTCTATCTGCAGACTGCGGCGGGAAAGGTCCAAATTGGCAAACAGCTTCCGAGTGTTTCTCTCCAGTCGATCATTGTCCATTGTCATTGTCCCCAGTCGATCGCCCCAAAGTTTTATCATGGGAGCGGGCCACGCAAGGCGCGCTGTGCAAGGAAAGGCCGGCGCGTCTCACACTCGGCGTACCGCGACGTTCTTTGGGCGCGTGGACACCTGGACGAGCACGCCTGCTGACTCAGTAGGTGCCCCCACGGCCGGCCAGCGGCGCTCACGTTTGTCGTAGTGGAGTCGCTGCATCTTGAGCAGCTCGGTCCTGCCCTCTGTGTCGGACGTGTCCGCCGGGTCCGGCACCTCGGCCAGCTCGGTCGGCGGCCCAGCCGGGAACTGCAGCGCGTGGATCGGCGCCGGCGGCGACTCGAACAGGCGCGTCAGCGGCGACACCAGCGCCATCTGTGGCGCGGAGGCGAAACTTGAGGTTCATTCGACCTTTACTGAGCGGGCCGGTGCCCAACGTCGGATGTCAAAAACCACGTCCAGGAGACGTATGGTGTGGCGTGATCAACTATCACAACGATCCGTTCTCAAATGGACAGCAGTCGCCAAAGACATTGAACTGGCAGCCGGGGTCTAGTTCCCTATTCAGTTGGGGGCGGGGGGGGGGGGTTACGGCTCCCCTCCCCTGCTCAGCTTGGGCTCTACCCCGATCCCCAAGTTCAGGAAGAAAGTGGGCTAAATCCGTGGAAAATCCTTGGTTGTCGTATTTTCGTGGTAGGTTTCGTCATTTTGTATCGCTCAGCTCCCATCTGCCCCCCCCCCCCCCCCAACTTAATTGGCGAAACTGCGCACCTGCATCATACGTCATACGTGGAAAATAAAAATGAACAGATCACTACAGTACAGGGGAAACCCAAAGCAACACGAACACACGCACGAAACCAAAGCCCCAACACCGCCACTTCCTCACCACGGAACATCAGTCAGACGCGACACACCGCGGGAAAAGCGGGGCGTACTTACGACGGGCGGGTCGGGCGCGGTCAGGAAGCGGGCGTAGTCTCCCAGCACGTCAGCCGTGACCGAGCTGGCGTGGACGGCCCACGTCAGCTCTGCGCAGGCGCGCACCGCGGCTGAAACACGGCCGGCGCCGGGGGTAACGTCTGGTCGGCGCAGCGTTCTGACGCCGTGTCCGGGTGCAGTCGGGTCAAGCGAAGCCGGGCCGAGATAGCCCACCAAGGGCACGACTGAATCCACGCGTTCCAAATACAACTGGTACCACTACACGCTCCAAATACAACTGGTACCACCACCCGCTCCAGGCACATCCTGTGCCACCATGCGCTCCAGACATAACTGGTACCACTACGCGCTCCAGACATGACTGGTACCACCACGCGCTCCAGACATAACTGGTACCACCACGCGCTCCAAACAAAACTGGCATCAACACGTGCCCCAGACATAACTGGTACCACCACGCGCTCCAGACATAACTGGTACCACCACGTGCTCCAAACACAACTGGTACCACCGTGCGATCCAAACAAAACTGGCATCAACACGTGCTCCAGACACAACTGGTACCAGCACCGCTCGGCATGCCGTCGGAGGAGGGCCTGGGGGCGACTTAAGACAAAGCCCACCCGCCAGACACTCGGGGGCTAATACTGCATGCACTGAAGCGCAATCCAGCCAAGTGGGAGCCGGAAGGAAAGACTGTAGACGGCCGCTCACTGACATGTACACAGACACGCAGCGAAGTTCCAAACGCACGCTGGAAAAAGCGTGAATAGCCCATGAACCATCTGAGGGCCGTAAGCCGTGGGTTCCGCTAGTCGCCGTGAAAGGGGCGACTATGTTCAGCACGCCTGAACCGCGCCCCTCGCGTACAGCCTGTCCCCATGTTACAAGTGGGACTCCCCAGCTGCAGAGGGCACCCTCGCACTGTCCGTTGACTCACCGTCGGTGGCCGAGAGCCGGACGGTGAACAGCTCGGCCAGGCCATGCAGCAGGCGGCTCGGCAGCGCCATCTGCCGCAGCTGGGCGGCGTCGGTCTCGCTCTGGCCACAGACGGCCGCCAGCCGAGCGGCGGCGTGTTGCAGGCCGCCACAGAACTCCACCACCGCCGGCGGCGTCGTGTCCAGTGGCGGTGCCGCCTCCATGTCGGGTGGCCTGGCCACTACCGCCTCGGCTGGATGGACGGAGCCGGCGGCGGCGGCGGCGGCGGCGGCGGCGGCGGCGGCGGGCGGCTGGCAGCGATCCGGTTGGCCAGCACCGGCGGCCGCGGCCTGCGGACCGGCGTCCGGACTGGCTGGTGTAGTGGTGACGTTGCTCACGTCCTCGGCGATCGCCTGAGGTCGGGCAGAGCCGCCGCCTGGCGCGGTGTCCCCTGCCTCGTCCGTCACGGTCACGGCGCCGGCGGGCTCAGCCAAGACGGGCGGGACGACGTCCGGCTGTGCAGAACGGCCGGTCGGCGCGACGGCAGCACCGGCCGAATCTGCCGCTGCGACGGCAGCACCGGTCGACTCAGGCACCGCGACGGCAGCACAGGCCGACTCAGGCACCGCGACGGCAGCACCGGCCGACTCAACCGCTGCGACGGCAGCACCGGCCGACTCAGGCACCGCGACGGCAGCACCGGCCGACTCAGGCACCGCGACGGCAGCACCGACCGATTCAACCGCCGCCCCGCCGGGGAAGCCCGAGTCGCCGTCCTCCCGGTCGCCGCCAGACGTCTCCGACTCGGGCTGGGAGAGCACGGCCGGCGCGGACTCAGCCGCCTTCGGGACGGAGCCGCCGCTCGCCGAACGGCTCAGATCACAGTCGGCACCGGCCAGCCTGCAGTTGTCCACCAGCTCTTTGGCCTCAGCTGACGTGAGGGTGTTCTGGTGAGGAGCGCTCTGTTCTGCGATCTCCTTGAATTTGGCAGAGCCGAGCTCTCCTGGAGCTGGCGGTTGATTGAGGATGTCCTGATGATGAACTTCGACACTGACGTCAATTTGTCCATGGGCACGGGCTATCGAGCCTGCTGAGACGCACACCAGCTCTGAGGCAGCCTGCGATTGAACGGGGTGCTGACCCGCGACACCAGCTGACCATAGCGGAACTGGAGCCGCGACCCCGTCACCTGCGTCTCCCTGCGCATCATCTCGGCCTACGGGCGCAGCAGCGCCAGCGCCGCGTCCGCTCTCGTCCGCCACGCCCGCCTTCCGACCGCCTACTCCCACTCGAAGCGCGTCCGGCTGCAGCGTCCCAGCAGCGCCCGCCCCTGCTCCCGGCGGCGGCGGCGTGTCGCTCTCGACGCTCGCCGCCGGCGCCGTCTTGCGCGCCCAGACGGGCGTGCCGGGCGGCGGCGGCGCCGGCCTCTGGAACAGTGCACGAGGCGGGTCGGGCCCCGAGGCGCCCCATCGGCGCAGATGGCGCTGCCAGTCGTCCTGGCGCCGCCACTCCAGGTGTGGCCGGCAACCGGCCGCGTAGCTGCGGCACAGCATGTCGGCCAGCAGGCGCAGCAGCCAGGAGCGACGCAGCGTCCGGCGCCGACCGCCCTGCCCGGCAAACGGGGTGTCAGTCGCCCAGCCTAGAGGGAGAAGCCGACACAAACCGAAGCACGCGCCCCTGGTGGTAAACCCGCCTACACAACTCAAACACCGGTAGGCGTCGAGCCCGAGACTTCACGTGCCCGTCGATCTGGCAGTGGCAGCACTCAACACTCGCAGGAGAGCGGCGAGCACAGGGCGAGACCGAGACACGACGGCGCCAGCGAACTTTCGGCTCCAGCCCACAACCCGGCGCCGATTCGCCACCGCCTGTCGCACCGTTCCGCGGCTGCCGAGCGATGGCACGCGTTACCTGCAGCGGTGGCGGGGCGTCTTCGACGTCCACGTCAGCGTCATATCCGTCCGTGGAGCCCGGGCAGGGGTCCACCTCACTCTCTGATGACGCCACCGACCCCTCCACCAACGTCACTTCGGGCTGCGGCACGCGCAAGCGTCCGGATGTGATCACCAGCGCCCAGCCGCACTGAGATGAGGACACCAATGCAGAAATGGCCAAATATGAACAGGCTGGTCATAATGTATTACAACACAAAACGCGGCTACAGGACAGGACATCGATTCAACAAATGGGTACGTCTGGCCATTGTTTAATGCTCTCGTATAGCAGGCACGATGCACGTTCTTGTCATGATTTTATACGAAGCTCTTTGCAGGCCATTCCAGTCCAAGTCAAAGACAGTGCCCGACGACAATCAGAGCACCGCTCCAAGCGGCGCAGCTCAGCAGCCGTGACGCGCCTCAACAGACGCGTGTGCTCACCTGTTCGATAGTATCTGGGGTCGGCAGGCAGCTGTCGATGAGCAGGTCGGCTAGCGCGCGCAGTAGCGCGGCGGAGCGCGGCCGGAGGTGAGCTAGCGCCGCAGTCAGCCGCAGCTCCAGCTCCAGCTCGGCCGGCCGGCCGGCTCGCTCAGCCAGCAGCAGCGCGGTCGGCAGCAGGGCGGTCAGCAGCCGGCACGGCGGCTCGAGCGCTGCTCCGGCTGGAGGGAGTCCGGCACGACGCCGTCACACGGACACCACAGGCGCGCGCCATCCAGAGGCGCGCCACGCGGGCTGGCGCGTGGGCCGGGCACGGTCGCGGCGCACCTCGTGGACAGGGAGAACAGGAAAACAGGAGCGACAACATAAAAACAGCAGAACAGAAAAGCAAGACAAAAGCAAGCCCTGACACGATGCTATGTCAAGTACGGGAAAAGAAACAAGGTTTATCAGCACGCACCCGAGGCGACGGGGTGCGCCCGCTCCAGGGCGCCGGTGAACGCCAGCAGCCGCTCCAGGGCCGTGGCTAGGTCACGGCCCAGGTCCGGGTACTGAGCCAGCACGGCGCGGCCCAGCCGCTCCGAGCGACTCAGCGCGTCGCAGAAGGCGCGCCACATGTCGGCCAGCAGGGGCATCTCGGCCACCGGTGACGTCACCGCCGCCTGCCGGCCAGGCGGGGAAGCTGGTGAGGTTGGGCGCGCCGGGTTTGAGCGGCGGCTGGAAGCTTACACACGTCAAGAGGATAGCAATAATAATTCAGCAATCCTTAAAAGAACAGAGCTATCCAACAAAGCATATTCCTTATTGACGAAAAACCGTACCTAACACCAAAACAAACATTTTGGGCCGACGCTAGCGGGCATGCTCTAAAAGTATCGTATATAATATCGGTATTAAAGGTATCGCGCACAGCATTTGTACACATCCCCAGACTGCAGACAATGTTGGGCCAGAGCTGTCTCACCCGTGCTCCTCCCACCTCGACTGACGTCATCGCGGCGTCGGTGGAGCCCGCTAGCAGCCAGAGCGACAGCGCGCACGTGCGGGCCAGCAGGGTCTCCATCAGCATCGCCGTGCTGCCATCTGTCGAGTCCGGCTGCGAGCTATCGTCGGTCTCGGCGGCCGCCAGGCGCGCCAGCAGTGTGAGTGCCCGTCGCCGCAGCGCCGGCTGCGCGAGCAGCGCCGTCAACTGGCCAGGGCTCAGCTGACTGCGGACCAGCTCGGCGGCGTCCCGGCAGGAGGGCTCCTCCAGGGCCAGACAGCACGCCGACAGGCTCAGCGAGGCGAGACCCTCCTGTAAGCGCACAAGGGGCCATAGACAACGTTGTTTTCTGGAGGAGACCAGCAGGCAACAGACAGCATCTCCAGAAATGTCACGGCTGCATATGAGCACACTTGATATACCCAGTAAACAGGCATGGGTTCCAACTCGTCAACTAGGCCATGAATCGGCGAAACGGGACGGCGCTGATCCACCCGTGCGTTCACAAACCATTCCCCGCCGATACACAAACAATGCTCGCTCTCCCTCTCGTCGTTGTTGTTTTCAACAGCTGTCTTTCTGCAGCGTTAGCGCCAGACATGGCGGCACACAGCTGCCGTGGGCGCAGGGTGAGAACAGGGCGGCGCGCAGCTCTGAACGGGTTCGTGTTGCGTGCTCTCTGGCCGCGGCACCCGTCGTAATGACGCCACAGCTCGGCCACACGAACAGCACCCAGCGGTGGCCCAGTGCGGCCCCCCCGCCCGTCGTACTGACGTCACAGCTCGGCCACACGAGCAGCGCCCAGCGGTAGCCCAGTGCGGCCCCCCGCCCGTCGTTCTGACGCCACAGCTCGGCCACACGAACAGCACCCAGCAGTAGCCCAGTGCTGTCCTGCATTTCGGCGACGGAAAGGCCGCGGCGCGGCCTTTAATTTTTAATTTTTAATAATCCGCGTACCAACCACTTTCGTTCTTTGACGTAACAAAAAATAATCATTCAAAAATACCGCATCCGGTGTGCGACTATTTTCCCTCAAGCATTATTTCAAATTTCGACGGAAAGCTCCAAACTTGCGCGTGATCTGAGCAAGGCACAACGTTACTAAAGAGCTCGCTGACCATAGTGTTATTCGAACTTCATCAGACATACTCGGAATATCGCAATATTAAGACGGGCAAACAGCACAACTATCTCGAACTCTTCATGACGTCCCTTCTACCAATCCATACATATGGTAACTTCCAGCAACCAAGCAGCCGACCAACTATGTTCACCACTTCAATACCTGATCTACGGCCGTGCGAACATGCTGTAACACGCGCCCACACATTGACCACTGAGCGAAGTCCTCCTTATTGTGTGCTGTCAACCACTGATGACGCAAATACACCCGAAACTGACTAAACCCCATGCGAATGGAGTCTAAGCACAATAACCGACATTGCGCGCTTAAGTAAGAGTTTTATCCGGCGTATCTTTCTATGTCTTACAGCACGGCTATATAATTTCCAAACTGGGCGAGGGAAAACATTTCACACCACACAACACCGAGATGTTACCATCAATTCCACCCTCCGGGTCCAAAGTCAGTCTTTCCGCAGCACGTTTTCCAGCCAACTCATTCGGCATTAGGTTGGCGGCCTAAGGAGACCTCTCAATCCACAAATATCGCATGCGATGGAGCGAGACCACCAGACCAGAAAAGAATAAGCTTGACAGATCACGTTGCCATATCATTATATCTAAATAAACATAATATCTAAAACTCAGGGCCGAAAAGCAACTTCGGACAGTGACTGAATGTCATGACCTCAAAATGTCTCTTGGCTGTCAAGAGCCATGTCACTGTTCAGTGAAAAAAAACAGAGGGATGATGGGTCTATCAAGTCAGCCCACACCATCACACACTGCGGTGGACTACGCTTAGGTACAAGGTGCCCTGCGTTGTCTGGGTCATTTTTTACATTAACTGAACAAAAAATATGGTGTAATTCAAAACGATTCGTCATGCGGTACCGTTAGCTGCAAATGCCTAGCACAAGCCGCCCTGCGGCTGCGTAACAAATATCGTAGGCATGGATGACTGCTCCACATCTCCGCCGGCGCGAGGGACATCCATGTGCATCCAGCAAACGTCATGAACTGGTGCGGCTTCCGTCAGAGGCAAGGTCGCTGCTGGACGGCACTGAGTGGATACGGAAGCGGGAGAGACGGGACTGTCGGGTCCGTTATCGGCGCACGTGACCGCCACCATCCTGCGCTAGGACTGTCGCAACCCCCGGCAGAAAGCGGCCCAGTGGAAACCCTCAGCGTAGGGAATCGGGCCCAACCGCATTCAGCCACCCGTCCGGCCCATTCTGCCACTCTTAATTCCCTGGAACGGCACAGGAGGCAGCGCGCGGCGGCGGTTGAGCCCCACTCCAGCTTACCGATGTTGGGCTGACCATGTCGCTTGCGTCAGCGACGTATCCGGCCCAATGTCGCTCTCCGCAGTCAGCTGGCGTCACCGGCAGCTCGTCCGCGCTCTTCGGTCGACAGGCGATTCGATGTGTACAGAATGTCGGATGAAAGAGACGGAGAATGCGTTGATGAAATAGCGACTTTCATCAACATATAGTCAACGAACAGTGCGCATCACATGCTGGGAGATAGAAGTGTGAACAATGTGCATCACATGCCTCCCATCACATCACAGGCATCACACCACAGCCCAGCCCTCGCCGCTTTGGCCGCCGCCGCCGCCGCCGCCGCCGGCGCCTGTGAGCGGCAGCCGGCAGAACATCAAGCGGCGCTGACGCGTGGCTTGCTTCAGACAGGCCGACAAACATGCCCACAGAATGCCAGCTTGCGGCGGCCGTTTTCGATCTTTAAACACACACGACGGCCAGAGATAAGTGCCGCTGATACTCCACAGTCATACATTCGGTTAACGACTGACGACGAACCGATAATCGAAGCAGTACAAAAAAATGCAGCGACAGCATTAAAAGCTAGATGGGGCTCATATGGTAAATAAATATACCGTTTGCATACCACCCAGACGGTAAATAAACGGTACATTTTATCCCAGAAACACTTGATGTGTTTGCGCGCAGCTGTGTCGTCCTTTGTCGCCCTAGATAACGGGGGGAGGGGGCGAGGGGAACGGGGGGGGGGGGGCAGAGTTTAACTAGATGGGACTGAGAACCACCGGCTCACCTGGCCCTTCTGCGGCGACTGCGAGCCAGCCGCGCCCGGCGACAGCAGCGGCAGGAACAAGTCGCGCAGCAGCACCAGCCGAAGCCGGGGGTGCGCCGCGCGCAGAAGGCGCACCAGATGTTGCGCCAGCAGACGGTGGCGGCGCGGCGGCGCGGACGCCATCAGCAGCCTCCGGTAGAGGGCAGCGGCCGGACGCCAGCGACCACAGCTCGGCGGCTCCCAGCCGAGGTCGCAGAGCCGACAGTCGATCTCGGCGGGCAGGCCGCCTAGCTGGCCGATGGCCGTCACTACCAGCTGCAGCAGCTGCGAGCAGCTGGCCGACGAGTGGGCGCGCGTGACGGCGCGGCCGAGCAGCGGCAGCGCCACCGCCGGCGGCAGGCAGCAGCAGAAGCCGGCCAGCTCGGCGGCGCGGCAGAGGCGGCCGAGCAGCGGCTCGGGCGGCCCAGCCGCCGCTAGCCGCAGCAGCAGCTCCGCCAGGAATGCCGCCGGACAGCCGGCCGTGCCCTGCGGCGCGCTCGGCATGTGATGGGGTGACAGCCGGCCGCCGCCGCCGCAGCCGGCCGGGCCACGGCGCCGAGCGCCGGCCACCGCCGGCGGCGCGCGCAGCTCCTTGAGCGCGACCAGCGCGGCGGCCAGCGCGGCGACCAGGCCGCGGCACAGCTCCGGCTCGGCGTCCGCCGCCAGCACGTAGCGTTCCAGCATCTCGGTCAGTTCGGCCTCGTGCCAGCCGGCCAGCGCGGCGGCCCAGGCGGCCGGCGCACGGGTGCGCGCACTCTGGTACGCCACCACCCCCTGGCAGCGGACCAGCACGAGCAGCGTGGGGCCGCAGAGCGGCGCGCCACACGCCTGCGCCGCCACGAACTGCGTCACCGTCTCCGGCGCCACCGTGTCGGGTCGGGCCACCAGCATGGGGCCGGCAGCCGCCGCCGCCAGCAGGAGCGCGTGCGCGGGCAGCGCGTGCCCGTCGGCGCGGCGCCGGCCGGGTCGCGAGTCGGCCAGCCGCAGGCACGCGCGCAGGCAGAAGCCGCAGCGCGGGTCGGCCGCGCCGGGCGGCGCGCGCAGGCAGCAGCGCGTGAGCAGCGTCAGCAGGAGGCGCAGGGCCAGCCGGGCCGGCAGACGGCGGCGCGCCAGCTGCGGCCTGAACCGGTCAGCCCAGTCGGCCGGCCGGAGGGGGCGCGGCTCGGCCACCCAAGGCGGCCGCTCGTCGCCGCTCGCCGCGCCCGCCGTCGACAGGTAGTCCCAGCACTCGGCCTCGGGCCTGCGCGCCACGGTCAGTGGCGGCCGCAGGTAGCGCTCGCGCACCGCCTGCTCGTCGCGCTGGCGTCGGTCGCGCGCGCTCTCCGACTCATCGTCGCTGCTGGCGGCCGGCGAGGCTGGCAGCCGCGGCTCTGCGGCGCCGGCGAGCGTCAAGAGAGCGGATACGACGCACGGCAGCACGATCACGGCAGGGGCGACCCTGAATGCCTCGCTAAAGAGGGGAACAACACTCCGCCCCTGCCCATACCACACCAACTTTACATAGAAGACGCACACGTTTGAAGCCACCCGCCGTTCATTCATGCGTCGCTAAAGGCGTATTTCACACGTAGCCGTGTAGCCCATCCTTTATTCACCGTCTTTGCTACGCAAGAATCTGTGCGTCAGGTGCCAGATCATGCTCCGGCATACGTCATACGCCACCGAAGCCGCCATTAGACCACTCGCGCTACCGTGGCCGCGGGTGGCCAGACGATCCGCGACGACGCCGGCCTCCTGTCTGCCCCACCGGCCTGGGCTGTGTCGCCGGTCGGCCGCGGCGGTCGCCAGCAGCCGCCGCGGCACCAGTCGCCGGCCGCCTGCCCCGTCAGCCGGACCAGGCGCCGCTGAGTACTCACCGGGCGTCGGCCGCCTGCCCTCCAGCAGCTGGTGCGAGTGGGAGCAGGCGGGCGTTCCGTGCACGGCGGCTGTCTCCCAGTCTGCAGCCAGCGGGTACAGCTCCAGCTCCAGCTCCGGCTCCGGCTCCGGCTCCGGCTCCGGTTCCGGCTCCGAGGGCGGCTGTGCGGCGGCGTCCAGGCACGCCTGGCTGGCCAGGGGGCCCAGCAGCGAGCAGACCAGCTCCACCGTCTCGGGCGAAAGCGGCGACGCCTGCGCGACGGCAGCCAACGAATCACACCCGCTGGCCGCGATCGCGAATGCCGTGAATGAGTCCGCCGAGCTGCGCATCGTCGTCAATCTCAGTGCAACTGGCCGACGTCAGCTTGGTAACCAAATAGTACATTGGCACATAAGGCAGCAAAGACAGCGAGGTGCAAAAGACGTGTGTTGGTGTAGGGGAAGAGAAAGGCCTTGGCCAGCCCCAAGCACTGCAGGATAGCGACAATCCGAACACCTACCTCATCCGACGGTTCAGACAAGATCGCGACACGTCGACTCATCCCCACATTGTCCCTACTTCCCAGGGAAACGCATTCCGCGCGCTCCCCTTCCGCGCGCTGTGCAACGAAAACGAGCAAAACACGAGAAGAAAGTTAAGCGAACGCGCACATTCCAGTAAGCCCGGTGTATATCACAATTGAAAGGACACCTTTTCCAAGTTTAATTTTATCGGTCATACAGCGCAGTAAAAAGGAAAAAAGGAAACAAATATCACGTTACGTTCCAAACGAGGTAACACATTTACCTCTTCCATCTTCGCTTTATGCTCCGGGTGCATCATGGAAAACCCAGGGTCCCGAGAACAAAATCCCCACCGTGAATGCGGCTGACAAGTAATGGCTATTCCGAAACTGCAAAAGATACACAGAGTACAGAGACAAATGAACGCATTATCCCTCTGCACCAGACAAAAATTGACCCGGATCGCTTGCCTAGTCATCCTACCTTCCTGTCACACCACAAATATCAGCATTTCCCTCCCAAGCCACGAGTCGTACCGCTCGGAATACTTGTAACTGGTTGTAAAGGGACTGTAAAGCGTGCGCACGACCACCACTCGCCCATCGCACCGGCCTCAGGGTTGTAAAGGGTCTGTAAAGAGCGCGCACGATCACCACTCGCCCATCGCGCCGGCCTCAGGGTTGTAAAGGAACTGTAAAACGAGCAAGGCAGTTTGCAGTGCAAAGCAATAAAACAACAGCTAAAAAAAACACACACACACAAAGCCCCTCCACAAAACAGCTAGTGAATCAGGACAGAGTGCTCCAGCCGAGTGGTTAGCTCTGAGGTCGGCAGGCGGAAGGCGGTGGGCGGCAAACAGTGGGCGGCGGGCGGCAAACCATGGGCGTTGGGCGGCGGGCGGTGGGCGGCAAACAGTGGGCGGCGGGCGGCAAACCATGGGCGGTGGGCGGCAAACAGTGGGCGGTGGGCGGCAAACCATGGGCGGTGGCGGCAAGCGGTGGGCGGCGAACAGTGGGCGGCGGGCGGCAAACCATGGGCGGTAGGCGGCAAACCATGGGCGGTGGGCGGCAAACGGTGGGCGGCAAAAGATGGGCGGCAAACGGTGGGTGGTGGGCGACGGGCGGCGGGCGACGGCGGACATACCGAAGCGGGCAGGGCGCTGATCACATGCAGTATCATCCAGCCGCGGCCGTCAGTGATGTACTGCAGCACGGCGGCCAGCTCTGAGTCGGCTCGTTCGGCCGGCTGCACGCTGCACGACTCGTGCACATCCCGCTGGAACTGGTACACCAGCCCGGTGATCAGCCGGGAGACGCACCTGCAACACGTCAGAGCGCCGTGCACAACACGCCAGAGCGCACCTGCAACACGCCAGAGCGCCGTGCACGACACGCCAGAGCGCGCGCCGTGCAGCTGCAACAGGCTAGACGTGGCACACAGGCCGCCCGCAGTCAGCACCGTTTGGTGCTGCTGCCGTAGATATGCGCTCAAAATCTGCTGGCAACATCGCAAACCCGAACAGTCCGACTTCGACATTGTCAGTCTCAATATGTTTTATGAAACTGGTCAAAGGAAGTTATAAACAAACATAGATCACATGCTTTGATCCCCCATCCACGTGGTTAGTTAAACACCATGTGTAAGCTGGCTCTTTTAGCGCATGACCACACGTACATGCGCGATCGGACCCGGCAGTTAAGATCACGTGCTTTCAAGTGACGGACCATACATTCCTCGCATAAACAAAACGGGGCATGGTCCACCTCTAGCTATACGTTCACGGCACAGAGGCCGTGCTCAGTAAGAACACCACAGAAACAATAAATAATGAACAATGTGCGATAGCAGTTCCCAGTTCCCCACGCGTTCACAGAGCCATATACAGCAGTGATCGAAGGCCATGGCCATCGGCAGAGCGTGCGGGCCGACCCAGCGGATCGGACCGTCGCTTCCCCCGGCTTGCTGCCGGCGGGCCACGCGCCGCACACGGCCAAGGTCACCACTCGCGCTGTCCGCCCGGCGGCCGCGGCGCGTACTCTGTCCTCCCATTACTACGGCGGGCGTAGGCCCAGCGGTGCCATGGTGTCGTCGCGCGGCGACGCGCCACCAAAGCGGCAGTCGTACACTGCACGGCGCGGAGGCCCGCCGGGCCCACGAGCCGCCCCGCTCCGGCGGCGGCGGCGGCGGCGGCGGCGGCGGCGGCGGCGGTGCCTCACCTGCCCGGGATGACGGAGGCCAGTCGGTCGCCCTGCTGTTCGCGGTATAGTAGGTAGCAGAGCAGCGCGTCCAGCCACTGGCTGCCCTGCTGCGAAGACGGGACGCCGCGTCAGCACGGACGCACGCCCCGGCAGCGGTGGCGGCAGGACGCGACGCGATCCCCCCACCGCTTGCCAGTCGGCTGCACACAAACAGGGTCGCGACGGCGCACATTGGACGGACAGAGGGCACGTCGATGCTGTGACCGAGAGAAAGGGCCACGAATGTTCGGGATATAGATATTCTCTGTGTCGAGAGATATGGAAGACTGACACCAACGCATTGCAAAAATACAGCCCAGTTTCTAAGCCGTAGGTTTTAGATCACAGTGCTCATAAAAGTCCGTTTGTATGCCGTGTAGCGTCACCTTCGTATAAAATGCATTTTTCAACGCGTCCGCGCATTTATCAAGACTTCGTATATGCCATGGATGTCCGGCAAGACCAGTAACTGGTGCGATTACACTGCGTCGTGGTTGTTCAGACGAAGAGTCTGTTTTAATTTTAAGATGGTCACTGGACCGCGGTCTCCTCGCAGTTATCCCAAATAAGGGAAGCTCTACCTTAATTGCAGTACTACATTTTGACCACCAGTCTTCATGACACATATACAAGTAAATAAAGACTGCTTGGGGAGCGCCGGTGGTCGAAGCATAGCATTTCATTTAACGTAGATCCTTCCTTTTTGACTATGAGGAAACTACAATTAAATAATCACCAAAGACTCAATTATCATGTTACTCACAAGAGCAGTGAAACAACTAAGTCTATTTCACGTGCACCAATCTCAGCCCCGGCCCGTGAATGTCGGACGGGGACGATGCACATCTTAGCCCCGGTCCGTGAATGTCAGACGGGGATGATGCACATCTCAGCCCCGGTCTGTGAATGTCAGACGGGTATGACGCACAGCACTGACAGACTGCAGTTTGATCTGAGCCGACCACACGCGGCATGGCTGCACGCAGCATAGCGCCCAGAACCGCGTTGGCTGCCTTTGCACACAGCGCACGCGAGGCACGGGTGATCCACTGGTGGGACGGCTGCCGCTGAGGCCCAATACCGCATAATCGTGCCCCAATTTACTCCGAACTATCGCAGCTACAGAACACGTGGTTCGTTAGATAATATCATAAATGACCAACGGTTTATTTGGAGCTTGTCCTACTCCCGATAACTCTACGAGAAATTCCGGCTTATCTGATAAAAGGAATATCCCATTACGGTCGCCATTCACGACCACAGCGCCAGCTTGCCCAGTCCGCTGTGACCAGCGTATGCTATGCTCGCTGGTGTTTATTTGGACTTCGAATAAAACATCCTGCGGAGAACGAACACCGTTATGTTAAAGCAACGGTGTTCGTTAACGCAACGTTGCATCTCCACAATCATGGGGTTAGTCAGAAAAACTCAGCCGAAACGCCTCATAAAAAATGAAATTCGATGCGGATTGATAGGACATGGATAGCATGAACCACAACGAGCACAGTGGGCTACAGTTAGGTTAAGCCGGTCAGGTCACCGCATCCAAAGGATGGATGATGTTGCCGCCGGAGTCGTCGGTTGCCGCCGCAGTCAAAAGAATGAATGGATTTAAATTTGAGCTATACCGCGCAACTCCCGCCCCAAACGTGTACTTATTGTGGCTATAAACAGTATTGAACAACAGCTATACAACATCTGTTGTATACCTGTGCTGTAAACGACAGTACTGAAGCGTCAGAGAAAACCATGCTAATTGCTTTCATAAAAATGCTCCTGTGGTCGGTTTCGCGAGCACACGCTGGTTGCTAGCGGTGACCCTCAGCTGGGATTCCGTTCCTCATACCAAAGCTTGGTCATCACCTAATAGACACCGCAATACAGCAGGAAACCAATATGGAACCAGGTTATCACGGCCGTTGGTCACTCCATGAACCAGTGAGAATGAAGTCGCCATTTTGATACCAAGCGTCTCCAGAGTCTTTGGCGCATGTTTGATATGGGCAGCGGAGTCCCAACACACGTCTAGCAATAATAATACAGTCTAACCAGGGCCAAGCACTTACGTTCAAGGCTGAGGTTTCTTAAAAGAATAAAGGCCGAATAAGGCGCTGCGCAGTGAAGCCTGGGCATTTTCAGAGCCCAGGGTCATGCCGGCCGAAGGGCCACATTTTTTCTCCTGCACACTGTCATACCATCACGGAGAACTCGTCGCACACGTGTGATATCGCAATCAGTTTCAGGGCTCTAGCCTTCTTTCCCACTCACCTTTTCCCAACACACATACACTTCCTCACCCAGGGCAATGGAACACGTCAGGCCCCACACCCCAGACTCGAAGGGGAAAACTGAAATCCATCGACCACTTGGACTTCATGTGAACCTTTCTTTGCTACTGCTCTCTGCTCTCTCAGTTTATTCGGTTAAGATAACATAAGAAAGCTCATGGTATCGTTTACGACAGAATGTGTATATTTCGATTAAAAAATAATGAGGAAGGGGGAGAGGAACAAAGCAACGCAACTTCAACAGCAGTTCCAGAACTACTATAAACCAAAATCACATATGAGTGTAGTCACTTGTGTCTTACCATTTTGCCTGCTGCAAGCTTTGCGCATGATAACGTTACACCAGTTAGCACTGTGCAGTGCTACCATGTTCTCTGCGCCCACGGATCAATATGAGCCGCGGGTCATTGGCCCGCGCAGAAGACACAAGCACGTTATACCAATTAGCGCTGTGCGGTGCTACCATGTGCTCTGCACTCACGGGTCAAGACGAGTCACGGGTCATTAACCTGCACAGAAGACACAATTAGCGGTTAGCCCAGGCAAAAGATGGTCCCGTGTGAAGTTTTCTGTATATATATATATATATATATATATATATATATATATATATGCCCGAGCGAAACCAGTGCGGCACATACTTCTTCCTGCTTGCTTATATTTATATATGAACCCGGCGGCCAAGTTCCCAAATGTCGCTGAAATCTGGGGCGAAAATTGAATTACACAAATCCGAGGTCAATGCGGTAATTTGCCTGCACATCGTTTATCGGCCGGGGCTGTAATGCCATTAAAATGTGTGGTCCGGGTACTAAGACGCTGACAAAGTTATGTACACGCAGATAACAGCTGCTTGCTTCCATGAGTGGTCATTCGGTATTGTCCAACACGGACGACCGATGTCCAAAGACGGATTCAAATGTGCAGTGAAGCAATTTTCAGCGTGAGGAAACACAGAGAGCTTGTGACACTTGTCCCGTATTACCAAATTCAAGAAATTATCCCACCCGTCCTTTTTGCCAACGTCCGAAACAGTTACGCGCTAAATTCATGCACCGTAACTGGTCGTGCGTGCACTCCGCAAAAATAAGCACATAAAGACATCAGCGCACCATGGCCAACGCCCTGGCCAAACCATCGCAACATTGGATCCTGTTTCAGCGGTGAGCGGGCCGGCGCTAGCCGCAGACCGTCCGCACAGAAGCCCCGCCCTGCTCCCAGCCGCAGCCACAAACATCCGGTCACAAGGCCCGGGGACCCGAGGCGCCACACACGGGCAGCATGCCGCAGGCACCCAGGCGTCCCAACTACGTCAGAGACCCATAGCACCGTTACTGAGGCATAACGCATGACCAAGTTTGAAAAGCTCATGAAAAACGCCCATCTTTGATAAATTCATATGCGCAGTTGACGAAATATCTTTCCCACAAAACCTGCAGTAGCAAGTACGAATCCCGAAGAGTTATGTTTCTGAGTGATCGGCTTGTGGAGTGTGGGCCGCACTATTTTCGTGGATGTTGCGTGTTACATGCTTACGCCTGTGCACTTTACGCTTGATGTACTACTTTATGAATTACTTTATACATGTGTCACTTCATGGATTATTTCACACATGTTCTACTTGTTCTTCACACTACCTGCATGTGATAAATCCCATTCAGCACGAAATGTCGCAGCAAAGTTTGGCAAATGTAGAGAAGTTGCAAAGTAACAAAGCTTCACATCAACAAATGCAGTCCGAAACAGTGTTTACAAATTTCAGTTATACTTTTGTTCCAAGAACTGTCTACGCGCGACTTGGTAAAACATTTCGTCTGCGATCAAAATTATTTTCCCAGATCAAAAAGCACCGAGTCGAAATGCTCCGTCATGCGCACGAGCCAATGCAGAACGGATATTTCAGAGTTTGGTTTTAACAGCAAATGTGCATCTAAAACAACGGCCAAATGTCGTCACGTGGTAGGTGCAACGGGGAGCTCAGTAACCACGAAGCATGTGTTCCAGATTTTCATGTTGGTGACAACATTTAACAAATGGTGGGAGAATCGTTAAAGACGAGTGTCAATAGCAGACATGGGGACAAAGCCAGGTTTCTGGCTTCGAAGCTGAATCCGAAGCAGATCATAACATGAAGTCGAAGCAGAAGATGCAACCGGCGGTTTCCAGCATGGAAACTGCTAATCCTAAGTCGAAGCTAGTGACCTAGTATTCGTAAATTGTAAAGCCGAATGCACAGCCGATGGCTTCTGAATTTGTGCACGCCACGGTAAAGCCGAAGCCGGCGGCCTCGAACTGATGAACAGTGAAGTCAAAGACAGACGCATCAGTTCAACATCACGGGGCCGAGATCGAGGCCAAATCTAACGTGAAGCGTTGCTGCACGGAACCAACAACTTTTTCGCGTCTGCTAAACTGTATGGGGTCCAGGAATTGCCCTGAGAATTTTAAGAGTGGGACAAGATGCGAGCATCACGGACGAACGATTTTTCGCACTCTTGTCCTGGCCCCGTAAATCGGTATGTACAGAGCGTTTTGGAAAAAGAGCTATCCATCCGTCGTCAGGTTTTCGTTGGTCCTGAGAATGACCGGCTGGTTTTGTCTTTCAGCCACGTGTAGACAAGGAAGTCTTTCAGGGTTGTGTGGTGTATTGGGGTAACTGGACGGACACGACTGTTCTTTATGGTTAAGTCCCAACAGCAGTGAAAAAAGCGTGACGGACGAAACCGGCAGTTCAAGATCGCTTGGAGCTGAACCCGAGGCCATAATTAAAAACTTGTTCAAGTTGAAGCTTAAGCCAGCCTTTAAAACTCGCAGAAAGTCTAAGTAAAAGCCGAATTCAGCCGCTTTAAATGGTATGAAGTCCAAGCTGAAGACGAATCTGGCCATGGAAGATGGTTGTTAGCCGAATCCGAATTCGAAGCCACTTGAGAAAAGTTACGGCTTTGCCAAGCAGAAGCCGCGGCCAAAGCTCGTTTCTTCCTCATGCCCGGTCAGGAGCCAACAAAAACTCAGAGCACGTATGACGAGCCGCCGGAAGCTGAAGATGGGAGTCTGAATTGCCCGCAAAATTCTGCGACATGTGACAAACAATGCCAGCCATACCTCACTCCAGTGGCCGGAGCGTAACGTGAATTGCAACGAAGAACGTACCATTGTGCCAACGGCTGTTGGCGCAGGTGTGAGCAAACGCCCACAGAGGGGCTGATACGGACCATTATGGGGTTACCATTGGACCTCTGATCATGGTGCCACAGAATGTGGTGTTCATGCTTGCACGTTTGGTACAACAACATGGGAGGCGCTTCGCCTTCATGCTGGTTCCCACACATGACACAAGTTTATAACACCGGGTTTCAGGATTGAGAAGCGAAGGAAATGTACAAAGTGGCAAGGTCTCACCCCCACTTACGAATTTAAGGAATTCATAAAAGACTGCTCTCTAAAAGAAAATTTTACTTTTCGCTATCTAAAAACATAAATTTAAGAACTGATTTCAAATGAACTTAAAGTGAAGAATTGTCTTGAATTTGTGACATGCACAAATCCTTTTAGGTGTTTGAGTATGCCGCAAAGTGCTGAGATAAGGAATATGCGGTGTCAAGTTGGTACATAATTTTCGCACGACACGATGTCACGCTCTGATAGAGCAAAATGATGTGGGATGCGAAGCGCGCCACTGTCCGGACGCATGAAGCGGCCCCATGGGGACAGACCGCCACGTGAATGAGCGTTCACCGGCACTGGCGGATCTGCAGCTCTCACAGCTGAAGCTGCAGTCCCGCTGCTAACGTGAGGAACGCCGCTTCCGAAATAATCGCTTACAATCGTTTGCAAAAAAAAAAATATATTGACCACAAGAGTGTCGTGGTCAAAAGACAATCACAATAGGTTTCTTGTCAAGCTACGATATATGGCAGCGTGAGTACTAGGTGGAGTCCAGAGCAGAAATGTTACAAACAAACGGCGAAAACTGACAGCCCGCAGGTTGTCACTGCGTGTTGGCATCGTTACGCTATTTGTACCATACCATGGCACGGATTGAACTCGTGGCTCGGAAGTGAATCGTGATCTGATACCTGGGTCCTGGGTCGACTTAGGAGACTGGCAATGAAAGGGCTCGGAAGTGAATCGTGATCTGATACCTGGGTCGGGTCCTGGGTCAACTTAGGAGACTGGCAATGAAAGGGCTCGGAAGTGAATCGTGATCTGATACCTGGGTCCTGGGTCGACTTAGGAGACTGGCAATGAAAGGGCTCGGAAGTGAATCGTGATCTGATACCTGGGTCCTGGGTCGACTTAGGAGACTGGCAATGAAAGGGCTCGGAAGTGAATCGTGATCTGATACCTGGGTCCTGAGTCGACTTAGGAGACTGGCAATGAAAGGGCTCGGAAGTGAATCGTGATCTGATACCTGGGTCCTGGGTCGACTTAGGAGACTGGCAATGAAAGGGCTCGGAAGTGAATCGGTGATCTGATACCTGGGTCCTGGGTCGACTTAGGAGACTGGCAATGAAAGGGCTCGGAAGTGAATCGTGATCTGATACCTGGGTCCTGGGTCAACTTAGGAGACTGGCAATGAAAGGGCTCGGAAGTGAATCGTGATCTGATACCTGGGTCGGGTCCTGGGTCAACTTAGGAGACTGGCAATGAAAGGGCTCGGAAGTGAATCGTGATCTGATACCTGGGTCCTGGGTCGACTTAGGAGACTGGCAATGAAAGGGCTCGGAAGTGAATCGTGATCTGATACCTGGGTCCTGGGTCAACTTAGGAGACTGGCAATGAAAGGGCTCGGAAGTGAATCGTGATCTGATACCTGGGTCCTGGGTCAACTTAGGAGACTGGCAATGAAAGGGCTCGGAAGTGAATCGTGATCTGATACCTGGGTCCTGGGTCGACTTAGGAGACTGGCAATGAAAGCTGGTCTGAGCAGCAGTACTGTGACATGTATCAGACCTGGCTGCGTGACCCAGCATATGTGTGCATGCCCCAGCCACATGGCAGCACTCACATAACTGGGGTATGCATTTGAACTGCTGGCTGTCATATCTGATGATAGCTTTGCTAGTCAAGACAATCATGTGTAGAGGAAATGATGAAGACCCTGTTCCCACTTCCTGGTTATGCCACATTACACATCATGTCCAAAAAGGCAATATTTGTTTGGTCCCTTATTGAGCCACAGGTGCACAACAACCACAAGTGTATCATCCATCATGAAAAAACCAATGTCACACTTCAAAGTTTCAATACACAAAAAATGCTTCAGTGTGACTTGCAGCTAAACCTGAGTATAATGTAATGCTGTCTGCCCCCTCTCCCCTTCCCTCTTCTCATGCTCCTTACACCCTACAGAAGCCTTTCCCACAAATATCATGCCATTTGGATGTCAACACCTTATGGAATACACCAGAAACAAGTTGCTTACAGCATTTGCAGTTTGTTTCACCAGGACATGTAATTTTTAAAGTTGATGTTGAGAAGAATCCCAGCTATTAATCTTGATCAAACATGATAAATAATAAACATAGCAAGATCAATGTGATGAAAAGGGCCAAATGGGGCACATAAAAATACTTGAAATCACCAAGAGCTTTTAGCTTTCTGACAGGGCTCTCAGTTTCTGCTATGCATTTGCATTCTGCTCATCTCTGACATACTTTACTTATGTGAATAGTACATGCCATATAAAAGCTGATGGTGGGATGCTTCCCAAAAATCACAGGCTTGGTCCACAATTATGTGGATACTAATACTGAGCTCATTTGAAGCCTTTTGAGGAAGATGGACAAAAGGACTGGACAGCAGGGCAGTGCAGCAATTCTTAGTAAATATATCCAGATGGTAAAATACAGAGTAGAGCAGTATGCCTACCCTTGTCATTGTGTGTTTGATAATGACAAGCTATGTGAAATGGCTGTCTATAGCTCTGTTTTCTCTGGCTGCAAAAAAGCACATTAGGCTTTGATGCTTATGTGGGGTTGGGTGAGTCTTAACCATGTCTAGCATGCATGGGTTGATGCCATTCAAAGCCTTTCAGCAAACATTGGTATTGGTACTCACCCTGCTGAAGACATGGGCATTGCGGAAATGCTCCCAGAGGATCATAAACTCCAAATCTATTTCTGCCATCTGCAAACAAAGACAAAGGTCAGCACATACATTCCAAGTAGCAAATCTTTATCTGTGTCTGCAGCTAGGACAGGGCACCAGCCAGCTTGAATTCAATCAATGGTAAGCCTGCAAATTGCAGACTGCAGATGCAACACATTTCAGTGAGACCTCATTGTGGCAGCAGTGGCGCCCCAGGTAGGCCATGGTGAGTCAAGGTTTCAAGGGACGAGAATGTTGTGATAGAAATCACAAGAAAAAATAGCCCTAAAACACACCAACAGGGTAAATGCAAGAATGTTTTCAACTTTCATAACCAATCTTTAACATGTCCTTATCCTTCACAATTTATCATTCACACATCTGCCAGACTCAGGGCATCAATGTCAGCTAAGATTCCACTAAGGCATACAAATTTTGGTGGACTGGTCCCAAAATCCTCAAGCACCTGCCAACTGCAAGATGTTACAGAACAGACCAGTGGTAAGCCTCATTGTACACAGATAAAATGCATGCCACGATGCAACCTCCATGCAACACACATGCCAATTTGAAACATCAAAACTTCTCACTTACCCTTTCCTTGCAACTTCCACAAGATCAACGTGCCAGGTCGATTCGAACAGACACAGCCGCTAAGTCCGCGAAGGCATACGAGGATAGTCCGGTGATCTACATCACAGCCTCTAAGTGAAAAGCACACTCAATCACATGTTTCCTTGACCAGGTCTTTGCGGAGTGTATCCTGGCACGCAGCTGCCGCAACCCCGAGCTGCGTCTCTCGTCCCATCCACGGTTCTTCTGCCCCACCACCGAAAGGCATCCACATCAACACTGGCGCCTCAGGCGTTATTGCCTCTGTTACCACACGTCCGCGGAAATTGTCTCTGGAGCGCAAATATTGAATGTAAAACCTACCATATCATCGCGATCTTTTCCGCCCAGTGAAGGCAAATGTGATATCCCTTCATCTCCCGTGATGATTACGATTTTCACCATCAAGCCTTCTCAGACTTATCAGGATCGATCCGTGAACCACTCGGAATCGCAAGAAGGGGGGGGGGGGTCAACGTGATACCGTTAGGTTTGGGCTTCTCGGGAGGACGATCAGAGGTCCGACCCGAATGCCTGAAGCACCGGTTGGACATCGTGTTAGGGGACTGCTGCCCGTGTTACGTGGCGGTTTTCCACGTTATATCGTCGTCGTCATTTCCTTCAACTTGATTTTCTTTCGCGTAATTAGGAGAACTGGCTTCTCATTTTTTTTTTAGCAATATTGGCATGCTCAGTCGACGGAATTCTCACCAACACCAAACGCTAATCCCAAAGCCCAGCTTGCATAAAAGCAACAAGCGCCGTGACTGGCTCAATTATTTCGGTTAAGTTCTTACATGGTTTTTCAAGTTATGTACTCTCGCATGACGCTGTGTAATGCATAATGTTGTGAATACTATTCTAGAGGTAGTGGCTGTGCTCACCAACAACCAGCCTCACGAAAATAAAAAAATATTCGTAGGACTAATACGTCCAAGGGTAATAATCTGACTTACTTGGATTAATCATGCGCGTCATTGTTAATGACGGCTATTGACTAGACGGCCCACGGCATTGATCCGCAGGTAGTTACCAAGGAGACGTGTCATCGACGGCGGATAAAAGGACTTTGATATGTTTGTATTTGCTCTTACATACTGATTTGTTTAAAGTTGTTCCTACTATCACCGTTGACGAAACAGGTGGCTTTCAGCGACGCATGTCAAACCTCGCGCCACTCGCCGTCATCTGACCCTGAAGCAAAAAGGTTCACTAGTCTTCACTAGCGGCCACGCGGCGAGGCGGCGCCAGTTGCCGGTAGTTCCTCTCGCCACACCATCTATCTTCCCCGTTCAGGTGCCATCTACGGAGCACGCAAACGCATCCATTGTGCACGCAGCAAGGCGATTCTCGCCATAAGCCGGTTAACAGGGGGCGACTGTGAATGGTGGCGGGAGCGTTAGCCCACCAACTTTGCATAGGCTTTCATGAAACAAATGCTTTCGTCCTAATACGGGTAGCAAACGTCACTTAACTGGAACTCCGGAACTAGCGGGCATACATTCACACCGTCTTATGCATGCTTGCCACCGGTCATATTGAAGGGAGGCATATAGTGTGGTCACTACACACAGTCTGCAGCTTATGTGTAGCGACCAGACCTCCTCAATTGTGAGCAGAACCGTACAGCTACACACCACGCATATCTCGGGAGTTATCCCCAGTAAATTGCAGTCACCTGGTGCAAGGCTCACCGCAACATAACCAGGTAACCCCCACTCCCTCCCGTCACAGAAAAATGCCGGAATCCCCCATCGGCACGCCGGAATCCCGCATCGACACGCCGAAATCTCTCGTCAGCTCTTCATATTTTCTCAAGTCACGGAATCACGTATAGGCACGCCGGAATCCCCCACCGGCTCATATGAGTGAACCCCGCCTTCTGGAGACGCTGTAATAATTCTAACAACGGTACCCTCAGTAACCGAATTCGCTGCCACCGCCCATGGTCAGTTACTCATGATCATTTTAGCAGACCCCTTTCTGTGGGCGCGTGACAATCCACCAGGAGAGGATTGACCAGCTTTTCCGACAGCCCAATGCCGTTTTCTGACTTCACCGTCTGGGAGTCGCAAGAAGGCAGCTGAAAAGCGAGTCTCACATTCTCCGAGTCGCGAACCCATGAAAGGTACCCTACACATGCTACTGCTTCTCTCACTAGCGGCCAGCCACGTGCCAAAGTGCGTCCCACCTCACCCGTGAGTCGCGGAGAGACCGATCAATAGCCAACTTCCTAGTTTCTGTAGCGAGTGGGACCTTTCAACCCACAGCTAGACAGCTGCCTGCGTACCGCAAAGGACTTTCGCCACCGTTCCCCGCGAGGAGTCAAAACGCAAAGCATCTGTGATGCCTCTAGCTCGTGGTGACACAAATATTTCACTACACACATGGAAAACTCACAATCGGCCCAAGCTGAATGCAGTATACGAGCTATGTCAGATAATTGATTTGACGTATAAGTGGACCTGACTGCGGCGCGCCATATCCCCTGGCATAAAATTTATGCCGCATATTACTCATTGATCTGCTACTTTCCTACAGACTGTTCATTGAAACACATACAGAAATACCAGGCAGAAGTCGGCAAGCCATGTAACAACATATATTAGCGATAGATTGGTATATTAGACATGCTAATTACCGCGATATGACGCTAGCCAAAAAGAACGCACGACGTACATCAAACTAGAATTAAGGTGTGAGCCTCCAACGATTGGTGCTTGTGATACATTAGGTGTTTCGAACATTAGGTGTTATGGTACAATAGTGGTCACGAACATTAGGTGTTGCGATAATCCCCCTCGTGTGGAGCCCGTGGGCGCAGGCAGGGTGGCAGAGGGAAAACGTGTCATGGTCCCTTAGGTCTCCAGGGGTTGAAATGTAGCTCAAATGAAGGACTCGTGGGCCCTCAAGATGCGGCTGGAGGTCGTATTAACGAATCATGGCACTCCGCGGGACGGGCCTTTTGCAGGCCGGACCCTGAAATGTCACCTAAAGGGTCCCCTGCACCGATCGCATCCATGTGGACCGTGAAACAATTGGGGCCCGATGCTGGTCAGAGTCCAAGAATGCCAGACAGTCGGCCCAGTGTCAGCATGGCGGCCATTTTTCAAGCAGGGCAAGTTCTGGCCTCGCGAATGCCACTTAACCCGCGCCCGGCAGAAGGTCTGAGACAACCGCGCTCGGCTTGGGGGGGAAGTTGATGTTCCCCCCCCCCCCGGGATTTCCAACTTTCAAACGCCGTATGGGAGAAACAAAGTTACCGTTTTGAAGGTCTGGTCAAATCATGAAGAAAGCCAGACAATTTTTTTGCCCTGGGTCAAATGTGAGGTTACCAGTGGCCTCAATTCTGCCTGTGTTTTGAAGTCGATAAACTGCAGAAATCAGGCGTTGAACGGCCGCATGCAATATATCACCGGTGCCGTTAATTTCCAATGGTTTAGTGGGTTTTTTAAACCGACAGAACTCAGGAACTTTTTCAAGAATGCTTTATCTGGGTTCCACAGACATTAAGGACATCGCGAAGGTCGATTGTAGGTCGATATATTTGATCGAAATTTGAAGATTAAAAGTTTGATTGTAGATCGAGTGGTCAGCGATGTGTATTTACATGGCCAAGCCGTGTTTGTCTGGCAATGTCAGACATTTAGCCAGAAACGATTAGTGATGCAATTTATGTGACGCGATTTTTTAACATGCGCGCTCGCAAATCTTAGCAACAAAAACCTCGACACCTGGCGTTGCAGTCTCCATTGTCTGCGAAGCTTTAGTTCAGTGGCTATCTTTTCGCCGCGGTCCACTGAGAGACGAAAATGATGATGCTTCTGAAAGAATGATCTTAAAATACTTCAATCGATTAGTAATACAAGTTGTGTGACGTAATTTTGAGCACGCGCACCTGAAAATCTTGTAACAAAAGCCTCGATGCCAGGCGTTGCAGTCTCCGTAGGCCGCGCGGCGTCGGTCCAGCAGTTGATACTAAGCTGCGGCCTACGGGTGGCCAAAAATGCTGACGCCTTTGCAAGAAGTACCTTTGAACCCTTCAAGACATCAAATATAACATTTAGAAGGCAGTCTGGGCGTGTTCCACGTGTACGATTTTTAGACTGATGATCAGAACAGATTGGCCCTTAAAGCGCCGCGAAGGGGTACTGGGATCTGGTGGTGGGACTGGAAGAGTTAAGGTAGAATCCCTATTTTTCGTGTTTCTGAGGCTAGCAATTTGTCCAGAACACAAATTAACATGGTGCCCGCCGTCTGGTGGCACTTGCAGTGGCCAACGTCGTTCTGTTCCATGGAAGCCGCAACCCAGGCCATAGTTGTCCTTGCTCTCGAGGTTGCGGGCGGGCGTGTTCAAACCTTTCGATTGTAATTTTTTCACTAATCCATTCTAAAAAATGAACTTTTTCAGGTAAACATGGACTGACCTTGTACGTTTAAAAATTATTTCGACCCACGCTATTCAACAATAACAAGAACCCCACTCCACTCAACAATAATGAGACCTCCTATTTCTTTCCGCGCGAGGGGCCCCATGAGTAGAACACCAGGAGTACATAATCGCTTCCGTCCAAGGGCTGAAGAGTCACGCCGTCCATCGCGAAGTGTCTTCTGGCCGTCATTCTGGCGACACGGGGCGGTACCTCCTGGTCGATCCGGAGGCCATTAGAAGGGTATATCTTATCACATTGTTCCCCTCCCAGACACGGCAGACCTCCTGATCCGCGCAGTTGGCCCCGGACCAGCATAGGAACCCTCACTGGCGCAACAACATGCCTGATCGCTGCAGGTGGGGTCCAATAATTGTCACATAGACTGCAGTTTCACGTTTTTCTGTGTTCTTCAGAGATATTGAGGACTCCCTGAACGCAGATCGTAGATAAATGGGGTCCAAATTTGTATTAACATGGCTAGTCCATGTTCGTCTTAAGGTGCTTAAGATCAGAATTGATTACTGATAAAACTATGCGATATGATTTTGAACATGGTCGTTCGCAAGTCATAGCAACGACAGCCTCGAAGCCCGGCGTTGCAGTCTCCATAGGCCGCGCGGCGTTGGTCTGTGGTTGTGATACTAAGCGATGGCCAATAAGTAAACGAAAAAAGATGGCACGTATTGAGGATGATGGTTGGTGAACTAGGCAAATTGGTATGTATGTTTAATGCGTTGCAAAAGTAATCTGAACCCAACCTTAATCTGAAAAGTGTGTGGGGG